TGAGAGATCAACTAATCCTAGTTAGCGATATTTCAAAAAGTAGCCCTGCTCTCATACCTTATTTAAGGAGTTTGAGGACTGATTATAAAATAAAAGTAAAAGAGGCAAAACAAGCTTACCTGGCCTCATCTATCTCACAGGCACCTAATCCCTGTAAAGCAGCTTGGGATTTTATTAAGGGAACTAGGACTAAGTCAGCTCCTGTTAGTTGTGAATTTGCTAAAGCAGAGGATTTTAATGAATATTTCCTTAACTCTGTGGAGGAACTTGTAAACAGCTGTAGCACTGTAAATAATATTTCACAAGGGGCTAACCCCAATGTAGACAGTACTGGATGTAACCTGGAAAAGGTTCCTTTGGTTCCCTTCGACTTTTCTTGGAAGCCTGTTACTGCCCTTAACATAATTAAAATTGTTCACAGTTTCAAGCAATCTAAAAGTAAAGATTACTTTGATATGTCAACTGATCTACTAAAAGGTTTTGTCCACTATGTTGCAAATCACCTTGCAAATGTGATCAATGCTTGTCTGAAAGAGGGAATTTTTCCTGATGCAATGAAAATATCCAGGGTAGTCCCAGTGTTTAAGAAAGGAGCCCATGACAATGTCAGTAGTTATAGGCCTATTGCTATTATCCCCATATTTGCCAAAGTGTTTGAAGCTGTTATGCTAGAACAGTTGTACGAGCACTTTGAGGACCATCGCCTGCTTGTGCCAGCTCAGTTTGGTTTTAGGAGGGGCAGGTCTACTGTCTCGGCAGTGGACTCCCTTCTCCAGACTGTGCTCAACTCACTCGAAAATAGATTAAATGTCTCAGTTTTGCTTTGTGACCTTTCACGAGCATTTGATTGTGTTTCACACAATATCCTAATCCTGAAGCTGGAAAGATATGGCGTACGCGGCGATGCACTCAAGGTGCTCAGATCCTATCTTAGCAATAGACAACAGGTAGTATCTTGGAGAGGTAGAAACTCCTCTCTTTTGTCTGTGAATCATGGTGTTCCTCAAGGCTCCATTTTGGGCCCATTTCTGTTCCTTGTGTCTATTAATGACTTGTACTACCATGTGTCTGGTAGAGCCATATTTTATGCTGATGACACAACCCTGTTTGCCAAGGATCCCATCCTCAGTATTTCTAGATCTAAGGTTGAAAGCCTTCTTGTCATGGCCACCTCATGGTTCAATGATAACAAACTTGTTTTGAATGAGTCCAAAACCCAATCAATGACCTTCAGTCTGGACATGGCATGTGAAAAGACTGGACCTGTGAAGTTATTGGGCTTCACTCTGGACCCACACCTCACCTGGGGAGACCACATAGAGTCGGTGTGCGGTAGGCTGAGCAGGGTCATATTCCTGCTCAGAAGACTGAGTACTGACTTGTCTGGGGAATTCATTCGAGCCTCTTATTTTGCTTTTTTCCACTCCATCATTATTTACGGAACCAGGCTCTGGGGCCATTCTTCTGGTGTAAGTAAAATTCTAGTGTTGCAAAAGGAGGCTGTCAGGGTGCTGAGTGGAGCCCAGTACCTGGAACACTGCCGTCCTCTGTTCCAACAAAACCACATCATGACTGTATATAATGTATATATCTTTCAATGTCTTTTAGAAATTAAGGCAAATGAAGTGCACCTTTTGAGAAACAACCAAGTACACAACTATGCCACAAGAAATTCTTTAAATGTTTTTGCACATAGACACAGGCTGAGCAGAACAATTAAATGCTTCCCTGTTTCAGGTTACAGATTTTTCAACCACCTACCAGTAGCCATAAGGGACTTGCCTATTTCAAGGTTCAAGGCAGTAATGAAGGACTGGTTGACAGAAAACCCTTTTTATGACCTGTCTGAATTTTATAAAGTAGGACTACCAGTTTTGTTATAGGTAATGCTCATGCACTGACTGCCTTGCATGGCTATTTTCTTGCCTGTTTTTTTTGCATGATTTTGCTACAGTTTTGTTTTGCATGGTTTTATTTGTTTCCTTATTATTATATTTATCTAACATGCATTCATTTGTGAATCAAGAGACTATTTATTATTTAATTACTTTGTATTGTATTGTATTGACTTAGCCTATTGCTTTGCTTAATGGCCGAATAAATCATTGAATCATTGAATCATTGAGTTTCACGGACTTTTACCCCCTTCGTATGAGGTCAGCTCAAAATGTATGGCCCAGATTTTTATCCCCAGAATTTTACCCCCCAGACTCTTACCCCCGGATTTTGATCCCCGGAATTTCACCCTCTGGCCAGATATAGAAATCAGTGAGAATGATTTATTTTCTTCTTTCAGTTTAAATTTAATATTACACATTTTATTATTAAGTAGCCTATCTTTATTTATTTGTAATCTCAACTTAGTAAACAGGTTTCGCCGTTTAAGTTTGATGTTTGTGGCCAACTGTTGGTTAATATGTATGTAAAATAAAATGAGTAGCTCAAATTCTGGGGGGTAAAAATCCGGGAGTAAAAATCCAGGGGTAAAATTCCGGAGGTAAAAATCCTGGGTTAGAAATCCAGGCCGTACATCTACAGTTGCCTAAACGCTAGTTATATGGACAGGGGGTAAAATTCCGGTTTTTATTGCTAATCCAATTTATCGCACTCTGTATCTATTTTCAGACTTCCAATCCGCCCGTGAACAAACTTTAGACTGCTCAGGAATTACTACGTCATAGTGACGTCAGCTTTGCCCTGGGGGTAAAATTCCATGGGGATAACATTCTGGCGACCCGCAGTAAAAAGGGCCTACCAGTATAGAAATTGGTGACTGCCAGATGCAGGATTTTTTTGTCCTAGGACACTAGGCACGAGCCTGGGACTGTTTTTCACATTACTTCAGGCTAGACCTAGGGGTTGCGGCATTATCACTTAGATCAAATCCATTGATGGCTTGGTCTTGGTGGGGATCGAACCCGGGACCTCAAGGACTGAAGTCCCGCGCTCTAACCACTACGCCAGCTCGCTCCCCAGATGCAGGGTTAGAGCTTACACAGAGTAACGTACATTGTTAGTAGTGTTAGTACTGTATATGATTACATAAAATACGGAACCTACACTACTAGGACTGCAATAGTCCAAATTCTAGTCTAATCCAACCTCAAGGTTCTTAGATAAAAAATATTGTTATAACTTATACTGTGAATCAAACAATATCTCTGCTATTATTGAGTAACATCTAACATCACGGTTAATTAGATAAAACAATCGTCTGTTTGTTTTAATCGTTGGTTATTATTTTCACTCAAGCTATTGTGGGCAACCAGCAGCCTTTTGATGAGACTGCAAAACACATTATTCTGGATTGCGATAGACTTTGGGTCAAGAGAAGGGCTATGTCTGGTTTAAAGCAGCCGGGTTCAGGCAATGAACCATAAACGCTAACATTAGCAAAAGCTCCTGCACCTGGTCAAAAACACGTGTATAGGATTTCCTATAGTTAGTTGCGATTGGGGCATGAAAAATAACCTTTGGTTGACATGCTGGCCCCTCCACAACACAATTTTACACCATACAACAACTAATTAAGTTAAATTGGAACCTACTAGTAAGACTACAAGTAGCGTGTAAGATATATCAAGTAGCCATGCTGCAGACGGAACAATCAATTCCTCAACGTCTTCAAGCCACACTTACAAAAAAACAACCTTATTCTACATTGGGATGAGAGGTCTATTGTTTTTTAGTTAACCTCTCCCCAAGGTGGTCGAGACTCCTTGTCGGGGGAACCTAGACGGGAGCGTGCACGACAACCTCCCACCTCAGATAATTTTTTTATGGCAGGATGTTGGGGTAGCACCTTAATGGCGGCCTGCAGCCACAGCCACCTTTAACTCCAGGCCGTGGCCTTCGAATTGGCAACATCGCAAGTAGGGTTGTAACAGCTGTTTTGTTTGGAGGCGGCTAATGGTAATTTGTGTATTTTTTAAGAATACAAAAGCTTGTTTACTGGGCTATGAAAATATTGACTCTAATTTAATGTACAAAAATAGATTTTCAATTTAAACATTGTTTTGGTTTTCAATTCTGTATATTTTATTTTCAATCTTTTAATAAAATTATGTTCATAAATTTAAATGAATAATACGCGAATTAATGAGCTGGTGTCACCTGTCTGCCATGTAATCTTATGGGACGACTAGCGCTAGACAACACCACTTGCAACGTTGCCAATTCTACCAGGCCGTGGCCTGGAGTTAAAGGTGGCCGTGCCTGCAGCTCCGCTCTCATTTCATCCTCCCTAGAGTTAGGCCAACTTGAAACAAATTTGACTTATAATTTTGCACTATAAAAATCCAAATTAGGCAATGTTACACTATTTTATGATTGTACGACGAGAGACTTCATATGCATAATTAGTCTGACAAATTATTGACAACCAGGCATTTGGCACGGCCGCCTCCTTCAGGCCGTGGCCTTCGAAGTGGCAACGTCGCAAGTAGGGTTGAACAGCTGTTTTGTTAGGAAGCAGCTAATGGTATTTGTGTATTTACGAAAGATTGGTTACTGGACTATGACAATATTGACTCCGCTTAAAATGTACATAGATTTTCAATTCAGATTGTTTTGGTTTTCAATTCTGTATGTTTTATTTTCAATATTTTAACAATTTATGTTCATAAATTTAAATTTAAATCAATAAAGTGCGAATTAATGTGCTTATATCACCTGTCTGGAGTTAAAGGCGGACATGCATTTAGTCATGTACTATGAAACACTTGTTATAATATAATATGTTATGTGATGTCACTTGTAATTTATGACCATTTTAGCAGAAGCTTCATGACATTTAGTCAAACTTGCCAAAATAAAACCAGAAAGAGAGGAAATAAAAGTAAGTTTCAATCAGAGTCAGGCACTACTTGTCAGTTGTCAGTGTCAGTTGTCATTTCCATAAATGTTGGTATGTCAAAAAAGTGTGTTGTTACACTGACTAGTTGTAGATGCTTTGCTTTGAGAGAAAGACGAAATGTGAGGTCAAAAGTGACGACGATAGAATAATCATGATCATTTCTTACCAAATCAATCGATAAAATCATTTATAAATGGAAGTTATCTGACATCAAGATCATTATTGTAAGTTTTAGTTTAGTACTGAAAATCAAATGTTCCTCTCAAGTATAACCTAACTTAGATAAAATTGTTGTATATTTTAGACAGAGTTATTCAACCTCTGAGACATAGGTGTACATTTAAGTCCCTTAACATTTTTCCACCATTTAAAACCTAGTGAATGCCTTTTCCCTTTATTTTAGATTGCATCATTAATTAACCTGTGCTGAACACTCAAAACTAGGAAGGTGCCTAGTTGGCCTATGTTGGCACAATTACTTACTTGTATTCTTGAAGGTATCCCACTTAGTTTCGAATTACACACTAATACCACCATCTCACTAGTCGCAGCCACCGTCCTGTACAAGTTGCAGCCACGCTTGTCCCAGTTATACAACAATTATACAGTAGGCCTAAGAAATATCTGCTATATACTAGGATTACAATTTATTGCTAAGCCCGCTAATATTTATCCTCTATTATAGTGGGGGCCACCAGCCAAAATCTCGTCTTTTTTACACATAACCATATGGCCTCCCTACTGTGACCTTCTCGCTAAAAAGTACTCCGTTTCGTGTTGTATGATTCTTTTATCAAGATGGAATCAATATCCTGCTTTTTCCTTGTCAGATACGTTTCCTTTCTTCTTTGGTTTACCTAAAGATTCAGAAGGCCTATCCAAGCTAGGCTTGATTACAAACTTTCACTTTTATCAAAAAATGTATTGTCCTCTTTAAATCCATATTGTTCATAAGCTGCAATAAAATGAATACCAAACAAGCGCAAACCAAGAAAGTATCATAGGTGTGTGTGCAGCTTCAAACAAGTGGACATCAGTGACAGACACATGTACAGGGAAGGTAGTCAGATGACAATACAAGTTGCGTGCATCCCCGAGAGCTAGGTTGCAGCTACCTGGGCCAGGTCCCTATATTACAGTATTAAGGAGTAATTCTGAGAACCTAATGACTTAAATGTAAGCCATCAGAAAATTCTTAACAAGTAGAGTATCGTGTGGTGAAACTTGCTGCATATGTATCAGCAGTTATTATAACTCCACCATCTTCAGGCTTAACAAAAGGATCCACTTATTGGTCATCAAGAATGAGTTTCACAAAGCTTACACATGACATAAAAATTAAGACAAACATGATAGGCCTACATGCATGTACTTTGCCGCAGAAAGGACTGGAAGAGTCTGCTATCGTATAGGCCTAATCCTTAGGCTATAGCAGTGAATGAGCCAAATAATTTGTCATCTCTTAATTGTGCTACAAATTTCACAGCTAGGCCTAATCCTTATTAATAGCAATGAGCCAATGGGACTTCTTGATTCCAGAACTATCCCTGATCATGGCGACCAAGCAATATGATTATCTCCTATGATTACAGTGGCTTCATGATTATATCTTGCAATCACAGCAACATTGTAATTTTTTGATTGTAAAACCTTGAAGTTGTCTCAAAGAGAGTTAATTTCATAAGGCCTCACTATCCACTTTCGCTGGTCCGGTCAAACGGTAGCCATTCAGCAGGATGATTCAAACTCATAGGTTTTAATGGGCGCAGTCACATCGTTGAGGTTGCGGTGCGTCGACAGGATCCACCGCATGCTGCGGCAGTGTAGTGGGACGACCGGACGACGGGACAAAAGTTGAAACACATGCTTTTAAATGAGCGCAGCCACACCATCCTGTTGTGCCGTGTGTTTATCCCTACTGTTGTCGCTATCAACAGTGCACAGCATGTGATGCTCACTCTCTTCACTCAAAGTATATTGCGGTATAGCAGGATGGTGTGACAGAGTAATGTCAATGTGGGAAAAGCACATCCTTCTCAACTGCATCCCACTAAACGGGATAGTGTGGCGCCGGCCTAAGATTCCCAAAAAGCAGGAATATCAAAATAACTGCAGCTCAGAACATTCTGCATACCGCTGGAAGGTTTTAGGAAGATGGCCAGATGAAATTTTATGTTTTTGGGTAGGCTTTACAACTGCAGGGTTAGAAAATCCTATATTGCTAAGCATTTGGCCGTTCAACTAGAAACAGATCCAAGAGCATTATATAGTGAAGTAGACCCTAGTGACTATCAACTGCACACAGCAACATCGCTGCAGTGGCGCTAACACCTAAGTCTAACCATCAAATACATCAATGGAGTTCCAAATATTGTGAAAGGTTCTTCAAAAAACGAGTAAAGTCTGAAACGATGTCGAAATTAAATATCTACTTCCAGAATGTAAATGGACTGAGAAGTAAATTAAATCAATTGAAGCTTTCTATATTAACCCATGATTATGATATAATTGTTTTAGTGGAAACCAACTTACTACCTGAGATAAGTGATGCTGAGCTGGGTCTCACTGACTTTACTGTTTATCGATGTGACCGATCTGAAGGGACTTCCCAAAAGCTGAGTGGTGGTGGAGTTTTGATTGCCATAAGTAATAGATTGGTTAGCAGGGAGCTTTTCCCCCAAATACAGTCTGTTGAATGTGTTTTTACGCTTATAGAATTATCAAAATCCTATCTGCTCCTCAGTGCTGTGTATCTTCCTCCAAACAAGCCTGTTAATCAGTATCTCCAGTTTGGTTCTGCATGTGAAGAAGTTATGCTTTCAAATGGTTCTAATGGTCCCATTCTTCTGGTTGGGGATTTCAACTTACCTGATACTATATGGGATGATACCGACAATACTATATTTGATCCAAATTCTGTTCCCATTCTCAATTTAGCTCAACTTTTTGAACTTCAGCAATTTAATGGCATCAAGAACGACCGTGGAGTTTTACTGGATCTGGTTTTCTCATCTTTGGAGCATGTTGAGGTTACTCAGGCCTTGGATCCTTTGGTCCCGGTTGAATCACACCACCCTTCCCTTGAAATTGAAATTGAATGCCCGGGTAGATTACGGTCAAGAAACTTAACATACAAGCTAGACTTCAACAAGAGCAACAAAGAAGAAATATTCAATAATCTACAAAATTGGGAGTATCCATTACTGAATTGTGTCGAGGACATGGAATCGTCATTTATGGCTTTTTGTTCCAGGCTAAGCCTCCTAATAAAATCATTCACTCCACTAAAATGTCTTGGTAAATCTACATTTCCTTGTTGGTTTTCTCAAGACTTGAAGAGACTAGTTCTACAAAAAAAACTACTTCATAGAGATTACAAAAGGACCTTAAACTTACAAATTTATATGGATTTCTGTCGTGTACGAACTCAATGTAAACAACTCACTGTGATTTGCTACAGAAACTACATCAATCGGGTAGAAGATTCCATGCAAGAAAATATTAAGGCCTTCTGGGGTCACATTAATAACACCAAGAACACTTCCAAGGCTGTATCTTCGATGTACCTGAATAGTGAAACTGCCGACACACCTCAGCACATCTGCAGACTTTTTGCTGAACATTTCTCGTCTGTCTTTAGACCACCATCAACGTCTCCCTCATATGAAGACTCAATTACAACCCTCTCATCTCTTACTGGGTTTTCTGTATCATGTGAAGAAGTTGAAGCTGTCTTGTCCTCTCTGAATGCTAATAAAGGAGCAGGACCCGATGAGATTCCTCCATCGCTACTCAAGTACTGTAGCTGTATTCTTGCACCGCACATAACAATCTTCTTTAATTCATTTCTTTCATCTGGTGTTTTTCCTAACTGCCTGAAGACAAGCTTCGTTGTACCAATTTTAAAGAGTGGTAATCCCTCGGATATCAAGAATTACAGGCCTATTGCGATTCAGCCAACGCTTGCGAAAGTGTTTGAGTCTCTGGTTCTTACTCGTCTGTCTTTCTTTGCCAGAAGTTTTCTGTCTACAGCTCAACATGGATTCTATAGTGGCAGATCCTCAACGACAAACTTAATAACATATCATGACGACATTATCTCAGCTTTCAATAGAAACCACCAGGTGGATAGTGTGTATATAGATTTTTCAAAGGCATTCGATAGAATCAGCCATGATCACCTTATGGCAAAGCTTGGTATTTTGGGAGTGGCTGGACCTATGCTGAAGTGGTTTCGGAGCTATATTAGTGGACGCTACCTTATTGTAAGATATAATGGGTTTGAATCGGAAGCCTTTCCTGTGTTATCTGGAGTGCCACAGGGCTCTCTTTTGGGTCCTGTACTGTTTTCAATCTTTATCAACGACCTAGTCCATGCTGTCAAGGATTCAAGAGTGTTGCTGTTTGCAGACGATGCTAAAATCTATAAGGAAGTAACAACGGACTTTGAATGTGAGGAGCTGCAAAGTGACTTGGACAATGTGCTGCGGTGGTGTTCGGAGAATGAGATGGAGTTGAACATATCTAAGTGCGTTGTACTCTCTTTCTCTCGACGCAGGAATGTAACGGTGTTCAACTATACCTTATTTGATTCGACTCTCCGCCAATCTTCTACAGTGAAAGATCTGGGAGTAACTGTTTCCTCGAATCTAAGTCCAGAACCTCACTTAAGAAACATAAGTAAGAAGGCTTATTCTGCTCTGGGATTTGTTGTCAGAATGTCTCGAGATGGGTTTTCACCTCATGCCCTAAGGACTTTGTATGTGCAGCTGGTTCGCCCTTTGTTGGAGTACTGCTCACCAGTTTGGTCACCATACCTGATATGCCATGTTGATCTTCTCGAGGGTGTACAGAGGAAATTTCTCCGAGTACTTGGAGTGAGTCTGGGCTTTCGCTACCTTGAAGTACCACTGGATGAGATGGAACGTCAGTTTGGACTTCTTCCTCTGAGTTCGAGACGCAAAATCTTTGATCTGCTGCTCTTAAAGAAGATCATCACAGCCTCGGTTGATTCACCGGATTTGCTGAGCAGGGTTGATTTTCGCTGTGCTCGTGTGGTTCGATCCAGAGGACTCTTTGAGAGAGCTCATTGTTCGACTCAATATTCTTACCACAGTGCTCTGCCTCGCCTTCATCGTCTGGGAAACAGCCTGCCCAGTTACATCGACCTCATTCAGTTCTCCGAGAATCGTCTTAGGAGGGAGCTAACCAGCTTCTACTCGTCAGAGGAGCATGTGCATGTTTGATTTTTTTTTTTTTTTTTTTAATTAGCTTTTCGTTAGGAGTGTGGCGATGACTTAGTGTTGGGGCCGTCGACTCCCCTCACTTCCGAGCCAGTGAGTGCATGTTTCTGTGCAAGTGTGTGGTAGTGTTGGGGCCGTCGACTCCCCTCACTTCCGAGCCAGTGAGTGCATGTTTCTGTGCAAGTGTGTGGTAGTGTTGGGGCCGTCGACTCCCCTCACTTCCAAGCCAGTGAGTGCATGTTTTGTTCAAGTGTGTGGTAGTGTTGGGGCCGTCGACTCCCCTCACTTATGTGCATTACTTTTTCATATTTATTAATATTATGGTCTGTCTTGTTGTTACCTTATTGTTAAGTTTTTATATTTCTTCAGAGTTTACCGTACCTTTTGCACATTGTTTTTTTTCTGTAAATTTGCTGGTTTTGCCTCCATTTTGTAGTGTTTCATAATTTTGGGTTTGCGTATTGTTAGTCTCTACTTCGTCAATATTTATTGTTATTATTGTTCCTGCATGTTAACTAGTCTCTACTCTTTATTGCCACTTGCTGTGATATTTATCATATATTTATTTTTTTCAACTTTGTTTTGTAATTCTAAGTGTAGGTAGTAGATAGCTGATCTTTTTAGTATTAGATCTTTTTTTTGGCCATCTGTAAAAAATAATTGCAATGTATGTACAATGTAAAATGGTGTTTACCGTATATGGATAAATAAATAAATAAATAAATAAACACCGTTCGCTTAGGCCTATGTGTACCATATGTGTTCCATTTGTCTCTGAGGTCTGCAAAGTTTCTGCTCCTGAATTTGTAGCTTATGTGTGCCCAACATAAGACCCCTGAAATGTAACCAAGATACCCCTTAAAAGTGTGAATTTGATTTTCAAGTTTTAGCGAGTAGGCCTACTGTGTTTTTAGATTATGAATTATAATGTCATAGACTTCATAAAAACCTCTGTCAAAACTTAGAGGACAAGAAAAATACCTGTTAGGCTCCTTGCTATAAGGTTATAAGAATGAAAAACCCATTAACTTAATTACATGGTAACCGACTTCAGTAAATTGTATTATAGGCACAGAGGTTTTTCGGTTTAGCTTGGATCCAACCTTAACTTGAAATGGTTTAGATAGAATAGTTCTTCAATTTTCTAAGAACAAAAGTAATTGTAACATTTCAGAACTCATGAAGTGGTCTAATTACATTAATTTAGTTAGGCCCTACCTAAAAATAACAGTATTTTATATGTTTTAGTTAAACAGTTGTGGTTGTGAAAAATATGTATTTATGAGAGTCCTTCCCAAACTGTTGACCTAGAAACACCTTTTCATATTTTTACTAGTGATACTATTCAAATCAAAAAGAAACTTTCAGAAAAACCGATTGCACTTTGTCCTTATGACATGAATTCATTTTTATCCTGTCAACTGTAATCTTAATATTTTTATATATTTATTATGTGTAATCTATTTATAATGCATGATTTGTACTTACATGTCACATATTCATTGCTGATATTTAGCCTGTATTATGAATTTTTGTGATGAATAAATTGATTTGATTTTGATTTGAAATCAAAATATACTTTATTCATAAAGTACAGTTTTGTACATTGAATGGCGTCAACTAAATCTATCTTAAATTAATAATTTACAAACTTGCATATCAAAGACCATTATTTACATTAAAAACCAAGAACCAGTAAATGCAAATAATCAAAACTAAATTAATTACCAACTAAGGCTATTTATTGTAGGCTACCACACAAGTTTCACTTATTTGTGGTGACTAACATTCCATTTGATGCCATCTTATTCTTATGTATGCAGTAAAATAAGTCTTACAGTAAAGGACGGATACATTTTGATATCTAAGGTAGGCTAAGTATACTTAATAATATTGTATTTATTAACTTAATAAGGTTAGATTAACATCTTATTTCATGTAAACTGGGCTTAGGCATAGTTCTTAAGTTTTTATCTTTTCTTCATTCCTTTCAATCTATTGCAGAAAGAAATGGAGGCACAAGTATCAACAGTTATCCATGATGGTACAAAAAATTTTGAAAATGAAAAACTAATTAATATTGCTGATGACATCAAGTTGAATTTTAAAACCAATTATGATATTGTAGAAAATCAAATTGCAAAATCAGATGAATTAAATATCACTAATCTATCAGAGACAGATAACCCACAAGATGCTCAAGGCAAGAATCAAGCCCCAAATTTTGATCAGGGAAAGTGCGAAGGAGAGATCAGCAGTAACTGTACCGATGTTGGAGTATCAAAGGAAAAATCTGACAATGAAAATGAAGAGAGCAAAACCAAACAGATTGAAGAGGATGAGAAGGTAAGAATAATGTCCTGTGTATTTATGTATATTATAAAGTACAATACTGTAAACCACCATTAAATTGGGCTAGAGTTGAATGTAGTCCAGATTAAATCAAATAATTTGATTAAATAAAGGCAAAGCTCTTCTGGTTTTTTTTTTGTACCACTTTTTTGTAATAGCCTAGATCACTCTTTCTTCATAGAAAAACGCTAATTTGTCATTCAACACTTTGGACTTGGTATTAACATAAACATAAAAAAATTATATCCAGATTTTGATTCATACTGTTTGTGAAATTTCATTCAGATTTTTATTTTGTTATTTGTGAAACAATTTAATTTATATTTGGATTTTTTAATTTGTGAACCTGCATAGTAAAGGTTCATCTGCATATACAATTACTCATTAATATATATATATATATATATATATATATATATATATATATATATATATATATATATATACAATTTATAGTAACCTTAGGAAAATTTTATGTGTAACACAAGCGCAAAGTCTCTTTGCTGCACTCAAGTGGCTTGTGCGTGAACATTTCTCTCAAATGCAGCAAAGTGTCATTTTGCGCACTGGTTACACAAATAACTATTTAACTCCTCAAATATATCAGTTTTTTGTTTTTAATTCCCTTTTTACTACACACTAAAACTAAATATCCTAACTATCCAAGTAAAAAGAAAATCAGAGTCACTATAGACTAATTATAATGGATATTGAACCATAAGTAAGGACTTACTCTAAATAATAGTCTCTAAAACTTTCAGGCAATGCTACTTTCTTTCATTAATGAAGTGGAACAAAGAGCTCAAGCAAAACTACAACTGCGAGAAAAAAACCAGGCACCTTGCAGACCTGAAGAAGCAGCGCTCGCTAAACTGGATTCTAGTCTAAAGAAAAATACTGCATTTATCAGGAAACTGGTGTGTTAAAATTATAATTTATTTTTATAATTCTAAACTAGTAACTTACTATGGTTGTATTTTGTAAATAAAATTAAGGGGTATTATTGGAAAGAGATAAAAGTTTTGTTATCTTACAAGAGAAAGTTTGAGTCAAGGGACTGAGAGCACGCAATAAAAGGTTGCATAACATAACACTAATATTTTGTTCTAATACAGAAATTCTTTAGGGAGTAGATTGCAGGAAATAAAGAACTCTACCCCATTTCATAGTACCCATTTTGCAGCCACTTCTTTAAAATTCAGCCAAGATTCTTCAGAAGTTTTTTATCTAAATTTTTAAAGTGTTAACTAGTAAAGCTGTAAGAAGATAATAATATGTTTAAACACTTTGGATGCATGGGTTAAGTGAAAGAAAACCCAAGTCTAGACATACTACCTTGGGGGATCAGTAAATGAAGAACATTGGCAGTGTCAGGCTAAAAATGGCAACTTTACACATTTTATACGTTTTTAAAAGGGGATGAACCATATTATGGTATTGGTACCATTTCATGTCGACCTTTTGTTACATAGCATCCTTAATTAATAGCCCAATGAAAAATAGCATTTGGGTAAGGAATCAATCTTCTCTTTGATTCAAACTAGTGACCTTCAAATTTTAAGGCGAACACTATAACTTTTCAGCTACTCATACAATCACCGGCCTGAGAAACGTCAACTAAAAAAATATCCAGCTATTGCTCAGGTGCTCTGATGATGGTAGAAACTACACCGGTGTAGGGTTTGCTGTTACAAAGTATTTTTTCTTAGAATCTGTAATGGTTTATGGCTCAAAAGAGCTGTAGCTCCTAAAAATGGGGGAAAGCTGAAAATCATTTTAATCTGCTCTGGAGATCCTAACTAAGTTAAAAACGAGATTGCGACAGATTCTGAAGTCAGCTAAGTGGATAGGTGGCAAAAAACTAAGCCGATTTTGCTCATTTCTTTAGCTTTTCGCTTATAATTGAAAAACAGTGCATCTTAAAAAAAAGTGTTTACATACTTTTACAAAGAACATTAAATTCTGTGTCGAATGACGTTAAAATCATTAAAATCGGTACAATCGTTCTGCTACAACAGGTTATCAAACAGGGTGGCTAGTGACCGGGAAAACCTGGAAATGTCAGGGAATATTACATATCTGGAAAAGTCAGGGAATTTTGTCATAAGTCAGGGAAAATTGTAAAAGGTTTAAAATAATTTTAATAATTGTTAGGAAAGGTCGATCTGGTGAGAGTACGTGTGGGTGAAAACTAAGATATATGTCTGTACAAATAAATTTTGTGTTTTTGTACAAATTAAATTTTGTTATAAACTGCGTATCATCTTATCAAACTCAGTTTAATTTTATTAAGGTAAGTTGCAAAGTTTCAATATAAGCTAGCCTGTATCTAGATTTTATGTATGTTTTTCATATAAACAAACCTAAGATATTCTTCAGATAAAGATTAGTCCTTTTGAAGAATTAGTTAGTATTAAAATTGTAATTTTGAATTTGTCGATCAGAGAAAGTTTAAAAAAGTCATGGAATTGTCAGGGAAAAGTCAGGGAATTTTTCAATGTGATTACACTAGCCACCCTGTAAAGATCAGTAATTTTAACATTCTCCTTGTCATCGTATTCTTGATGATTACAGCGTGTTCCGCCAAATAGTGCTATAGTTTTAGGTTAAAATTACTGAACTTTGACGACCTGTAGTAGCAGAACGACTGAACCGATTTTAACGTCATTCGACATGGAATTTAATGTTCTTTAGAAAAGTGTAAAAACAGGTTTTTTGTAGGATGCACTGTTTTTGAGTTTTAAGCGAAAAACTAAAAAATGAGCAAAATCGGCCTAGTTTTTTGCCTCCCATACACTTAGCTCACTTCAGAATCCATCGTAAACTCATTTTTAACTAATTTGGGATCTCCAGAGCAGGTTAAAACGATTTCCAGCTTTCTCCACATTTTTACGCGCTACAAGTCAAATTTGCCTGGTCTATTATAAATCAGTGAAAGGTTTTTCAGTTTATTTTATAGTTTTATCTTTGATTTAGGTGCTCTGTAGCTATCTGTCTTTACTAATATGATTGCCACGTCTAAAAGACATATGGTATTATTCTCTGATAGCTATTTTGTGTGTTTGTCTATGTTATACCTCTTTGTCAGTGCTTGTAATTAATAGCAAACCCTGTAATTCTAATGCAAGTAATGGTTTGTTGTTTTGTTCAGCGGAACTTCACAGCACCACAGCTGGCAAGTTTGATAAAAGACATGTCTACCTTGAATCTGTCCAAGTACATAAGTGAGGTGGCTTCAGCTTTAGTAGAAGCTAAACTTAAACTGAACGATGTTCCTGCAGCAGTTTTGCTTTGTAGCCAGATGCATACTACTTATTTAGAGTTCTCCAAAGTGCTGTTGGAACATTGGGTGAAAACTCTATCTTTAAAGAAGGACGAAAAGGTACTATGTCTATCTATTTTTATCTTATTTGGTTCTTAGAATGTTTCGTTTTAAATTAATTGATTACTATACTTGTAAATCTTAACTTGTAACTGCATAATATTCATATAACCTTGTGTTTACATTTGTTGAATTATCAATTATCAATTATTTAAGATGGGGACACCACTATGTGCGTATTTTAACCCAAATATGAGTGAAGGATGAGTGTAGGATGAGTGGCGCGATCTTGTAGTCTTGTTAGTGACTAAGGCTGACATGTTCCTTAGACACAGCTGTTAATTAATAGCCCATACAGTTAATGGCAACTAAGGGACCTACAGTTTATTTTGGAATCCGAACCACATTTTTTCCTCATAATTAACGAATTGGTCTAATTATTAGGATAGTACTGCGGATAGTCGTAGTACTCACTAGTGCGGACATTAATCCACACCAGGGTGCATCGCATCCACAGTGCATCCCTATAATTATCCACAATACGTGACCTCCTAGTAGCTGGATTACAGGACGACGTTACCTGTCCCAGTCATATGAATGCAATACTATCCTTGGTTATACAGATTGGCATTGTGAGGACTCTTGATTGTACGGATCAATGTTTAAAAAAATACACAAATATATTTTACTTACAGTCACCCGACAAAGTGGGCTTCCTTGCATAGATTATAATACAGAAAGCCTTACTTTAGCGGACAGTTTTTAAAATTTTTATTTCTCCATTCATGTATACTTTTGTATATTTATGAACAAAGCATATTTCAGTTGTATTGAATCAAATTGAATCTCCAGGTCTCCAATTATCTAGATGACCCCAAAGAGAATAAAATAAAATAAGACGAAATCTAAGTTTATTGTATTTTTTGCAGTTAACGAAAATCTGTTACATATTGTAATGTGTGACGCAAAATTCTAGACATATTGTAATGTGTGACGCAAAATTCTAGGGGGGAATAAACTAGTATTCACCAAAGTCAGGCTAGGCCTACCCCTAGAACCAGTAACACTCAAATTTCTTCCCCGGAGTGCTCAGAAGGAGCCGAGAAAAATCCAAGGGTTGATATGAAGTTGTCACGGCTTAGACTGATCAATTTATTAGATTTAGTCTAAGGCTCAGAGCTCTAGAAGCGCTCAGGAAATCCTGCAGACGCTCAGTTGGAGCTATATCATTCCAGCCTTTGTTAAAGTGTTTTGGAGAATTTTGCCTAACTTTAGGCTCCACTCTGTAGGGCAGGCGAGTATTCTATCTTAGCCAATGTGATATAATACTCGTATTAAGCTTTAAAATAGTAAACTAAAGGCTCTAGTTAAATAAATAAAACTACACGATCGAATGAACAAAATATAGTGTAAAAATCCCTACAGAGAAAGTAATATACAAACGAAGAATTTGGCGTGATGTGGTTAAAATAAATTCAATACCAATATTCATAATTAATTGTTCAAATCTAAACACTCCCTAGACTTGGTTCTATCACCTGACAAATACTGGGTTTGGAACTCAGAAACAAGTCTCGGGGTATCAAAACGGTGAAATAACGGGAATCAATCTAAACGGTGAAATAAAACGATAAATTTAATAAACAAACGGGGACTGTTATAATTTTGAACGAATTAAAATAAACGAAGCCAACTTACGGCCACCGCTAGTCACTGGCAGGCGGGAACTGGCGGGTATGAAACAAGTCAGCAAAGTCGTATGTTATAAATTTAGGATTTAGAATAGAATAAAAATTAGATATCTAAAGTTGAATTTGGAAATGTGGATGCGTATTATAAATGAAAACTAACGTAAACGTGATTAACTATCAGCTAACCTTCGGAATATTGGAGATCGACGTGTAAGTGTAAGTAGTCTTGTAACTGCGATGTTACTTCGTTGAGGGCGTGCGAACGAATAATTCTGTCTTCTAGTAAAATCCCTCATTCCAGTCCGGTCGAGGCTTACACGCTCTGGTGGTGAGTTTAAGGACTAGCCAACAGCTGATCGGACATTTTATGTTAGGCTAGTCTTCGTCTGCCGTCTGTCAACAAACACCAGTTTGGCGTTAAATACTCGTAAAATCTGTCGGTTTAACTTTATTTGGTGAAATGGAGTGCTATTACTCATAAATATGTCGTTTGAGTGTGTGTATGTACACTGTGATTAAAAATAGGCCTACGTTCTTTGGCCCATAGCCCAAGCTATGGCCAACACATAGGCCTAGGTGTAGGCTATTGTGGATGAAAACTGGTAAGTTATGGTGTTTGTTGAATAGCAGTACGTTTTAACCCCCCTAAAATTTTGGTACCTCACAATGCAATGCATGCTTACTGTGCCTATGTTGTTTCAATCGTGGGAAATGAGTTTTTAAATATGCTGCTTTTTGCCTCTATCTTTTACTAGGTATTTCAAACGTTTACCCACTTTAGTCGGCACCACCGTCCTGCATGCATTACTATTACAAGATAGGAGGTGCACTAACGGTCTGAAATACAACGGGTATTTATAAGTTTGGCCGTTGACAAAGATAGTTATTACTGTGTGCACCATCAGATTATGTCTCTTCATTTCTGCTTTAGTATTGTACTGCCATGAGAGATTAGTATGGATTTAGTTTAGGAAATAGAATCCATAGGATTTAGCCATAAGAGATTGCATGCACTTATTCGTCAGTATTGGGCGTTAAAAAACTTCATCTTGAAAGATCTAATCATCCATTTATTTTACCATCCAGGTACTGGTCTGGTCCCAGTTTATCGAGATGATTGGAATTCTAGTCTAGATTGTTAGGTAAAAACTTCAGTTTATATTTTCATAAGATTTTTCACACTTTTATACACTTTGTGCTACTTTAAAAAGAATGATACTACGTAAATTATCAATGTGATTTTGCAGATTGCAAATCCTAGTAAGCTGCGAGTGGACCTCAGATTTTATGGGGATTTGATCACTTCAGGGATATTCCAGTACAAGGAGGCTCTAACACTACTTGGAAATGTACTTACGTTTCTCTCAACATCAGATAGAGAAGAGCACAATAACATAAGCATCATTCTTAGCTTCTGCAAACATTGTGGAGAAGATTATGCAGGTAAGTTCCAAATACAGAAATCTTGATAAGTTTAAAACTACTGTAGACCCTCTGATGACACACTCTGGATCAAACCCTGTTCAGATTGACCACCTCTGTCCTGGAAAATACTGTCAGTTTATCCAACCTGAATTTGGAAACTGGTTTGTTTAAGTCTACCTTTTTGAAGTCTAGACACTTCAGTTCCTATCTTTAACACTATAATAAAATAGAATTGTGCCCTTAAAGGTCTAGTTTTGTCATGAAACACACGGGAAAACTATAAGGAAACATACTACAAACACTTGCCATGGTTGCCGTGACATCATCATGGTCTCCTTTGATCATGGTGAAATTGTGAACATCACCGGCTTTTGTGAAGATATCATCATTGTCTCCTGCAATCGCAGAAAAATTGAACATTTTTGATCATTAAATTTCTGCAGAAAAGCTTGGCTTGAGTTTATTGTAAATTAGTACTCGGTCACTGAAGGTTTTAGGCTAGGTTCGACTCTGCTCAAAAATCGAGCAGCTTGACATATGCTTCTTTCATCATGACATATGATCTTTCACAAACACAACTTCACTCAAAGTGAGGCAACTGTACTGCTCAGTACAAACACATATGAAAACTGCTATAAATATAATATTATAATATCAGTTTCTCAGACTACAGGGTGACGGGATGGCCCAGACTAGTGCAGGCAGAATCACAGAGATTTGACTGTACTTTTATGCCTTAGCTTTTTAAATATTTATTAATTTTGTAAGAATGGCTAACTTGGATCTTATTTTCAGGTCTTGTACCAAGAACTATGCGAGTTCTGTCAGATAAACACAATATTCCGATCCCTAGAAGCTCCATGCTCCCTCCTGAGAAGCAGAAGAATGTTCGGTCACTAGTCAAAGACTACTACAGTTCACTTTGTAAACATCTTCTAAAGGTAGGAAAGTTTGTCTTGGGAAGTTAATAGTTGAGTTACTTTCAATGGTAAGCGTGCAATTCAAAAACAGTTAATTGTGCTCAATTCTTATTTTAAATGATGTGAAACCCTGTTCTAGTCTTACTTTGTGTTTCACATGGATCTTAGATTTGTGTATGCAAGTAGAATTAATTGTTGATTGTCTGCAAACCTGGGATTTGAACCAACTATATACTTTGCAGGTTGCTAATGCAGTTTAACTTCAACGTAAGTCAAATGCTTCTGCTCTGACTTACGTTTTATATAGTGTTGATATAGCTATTTTGTCTTCTTTTAAAACAATCTGTAAAGGAATTTTATATTTCCATTTCCTCGCCCAGTAACTTTAAAAAATAACATTGCGTCTCATGTTTACTGTTATTCCAATAGATAAATTAGTTGATTTAATATAACAAACCTTGATTGAAAGAAGCGGTATGCGAGTACCCAAGCTGTAGAATATTTTTGAGTTGAGCAGTACATGAGCACTGTGGGTTCAGTGTTAACCCCTTCCTTACAATTTGTACATTATCACAGAATAAAAGCATGATAGTTAAAATACAAGCTATTTTATAACTCTTAACTGTCAAACGACCTAAAAACACCCTGAAATAAAGTTATTAAAACTAAGAAGAGAAGTATACATTTCTTGGTTTGAATACTGCAAAAAAAATACTTGAATGAAATGAGAACGAATGAAATGAGAACGAATGAAATGAGAACGAATGAAATGAGAAACGAGGGCAGCTTCCTTGATTTTAGGAATAAATTATAAAAGCATATTTTAAAGGTTAGGATGTGGAGACTAGCGTTTATTGGTGCAGTAGAACCTCGATTAACCGGGGGCTGATCAACTAGGTGGTGGATTAACTGTGGTCAATACATGCCTCTAAACATAACCTCATTATTCAAGAAAAGTAACAAGAAAATTAAATTTTTTTTTTTAGTCTAATCTGTTGAAATGCATTGTATATTCTACTATTTCTGGCCATTATTTATATGTAGTTGACTCCCACATCATTGTTTTTAAAACATCACACTTCATTTTCGAAAAAAATGGAAGCATAACAAAGAAATATCAGTCCACCACTTCAAGGTCAAGCTATGCACTTGTTCTGACAGTCGTCTGCTCCTTACACATCTATCGTGTGCTATTTTACAACAGTTTTGTTGACAACATAATGCTTGTGATTGGGTGAAGACAACTTAAGTAGTCTTGGTTGGTTGATTGATTAGTAACCATGGCAACTTTATGAATGTGTGGACAAAGAGAAACCCAAGAAAAATAGAAGGACAAAAAGGAAGAGTAACTTGTTTTTATGGCATTATTATATTTATCTTATTTTTACTAATGTTGTTATTATCTTTAAGTGCCAGTATTATGATTTTATACTTTTTTAATGAGTTATCTAATGTTTTATCAACATTAATATTATTAATGTAATATTACTATGACTAGCAGCAGCTTAGTAAACTTTCTATTGGTCAGTTCTTTGCGTAATTTATTGCTGTACAGTATTAGACAATTTTTGTTTGTTTGAACAAGTTACGATTTTTAACTTTACAGTTTTTATTACTGAACCAAGGTTAATGACTTACCATTATATGATTGTGTCATACTAATTATATTTTGATGATGTAAAATGTAATATATAATCACAATTAATGTCCATTTATACAGTACCTATTAGGCGGTTTTTATGGGTTTGTAATATATGTTTATGTCATGTTGGATTAACCGTGATTTTTAGTTATCCGTGGTCTCCCTCCCCCCATTACCCTGGATAATCGAGGTTCTACTGTAATCTTAAACATAACATCACACACAACCTAAACTGGAATGTAACATCCCTTAGCATTTTTGTCTGTAGATTTTTTAGGGGACATGTTTAATCTATGCTATCTGTTGCATTAGACTATTAGGTAATCTGATTTTCCATTTACATGAGAACAGTTAAGTTAAGTCAGCTGAAATTTGTAAAATATTTTTGTATTTTAACCTTTGGTATGACGGTATGACAAAAACTTTCAATTTCCAGGAACATGGTGAGTTGCAAGCTTTTGAACGACAAAACCGAAGAATTCTGCAGACTAAAGGAGAGCTTAGTTCTGAGAGGAAGGAGCGAGGAGAGGCCCTTGCTGCTTCGTTCCAGAAACTTCACAACGGGACTGTCAACTTCGCTGAGATTCTTGATGAAGATGTTCCAGAATTACCTGAAGAAAGTGAGTAAAATCAGAATTAACATTTTAAATCGCTAAGATATACAATACATTTTGTGATAAACTCAAAGCTCGATTCATTAAAATTGTAAAAAAACCTCATTTTGTTTACCTAAGATATATTTTATTATACTTTAAAGGTATCTTTAGCAGTCTGATTTTGTTGTTGTTTGTTAGGTTTGATTTTAAAGTTAAAACTACTGCGAGCCAGGTTATAAGTACATATTATAGCATCCATGTGTGGGTTTAGTCTTGTAACTTCTGTAGAATACAACTGTAATCATATGACCTTGACATTGATAGCGAAGCATTGGATTTCGGCGATCAATAACATAATTTCTTATTTATATTTGCAAACGCCATTATAATTTTTATGGAAACGGTCTAAACCCTGGTCCAGTCCACATCCAACATCCAACATCCTGGAAAAAAAACAAAGTTTGGTCCTGGATCCAACATCGACATTTAATCATTCTTTGATACCCCAATGACAAATGAAGAATCCGTCTCCTTGGAATCGTTCCAGTGGACTTCAGATTCGAAAGCAAAACTACCGAGACAATTTGTCTCAACCTATAACTTGAATTTTTGATCAATCCACTATAGCCATGATATCTCTATTGTTGTCAATCTCTGTACCTACCTGATTTATTACATTATAAGTTATTCGTTATAAATGTTGTAAAAAGGACAAGACAAAAATCCTCTTCTTGGTAAATGATTGGGCTTATATATTCCAATTAGTGATGGGTTAGTTGCTGATTTCATCAATTCGGTTTTTGGTTGTGTCAATCAAAAGATTAAATATGATTAGGCTATCCATAAAAACATATTTTAAGTTATAAATATGACTACAGATTAGTTAAAAGTTAAATAACTTAAGAAACCATCAACAGTTTGACAGTAAGCAGAGACCAGTGGCGAATTGAATGGACAAGACAAAATACTGTACTGTAGAGTCAGAGGTGGAAATTTACTTACTAGCCATCTTAAAACTAATTCCAAGATAAAATCCTTAAAGGTTTGCGATTGTATAGTTACCCTAAGAAAGTCATAAACGAATAAAGTGGCAAACTATTCAAAGTGATAAAACTTTTACGAGATCAACTACTGGACTGATGGTTTTAACAAATACTTGAAACTACTCAACCAACCGAACCTACCTTGAGTATTCAAACTGACCTTGAGTACTCTGCAGAATTGTTATTGTCTTGTTGAATTTTTAATGGAGTTCCTAGTAATAAATTACGAAAGTTGTAAACAAACATCCGATAGACAGTTCTTGTTCTCCTAACCAACAACCGAAGCACGGTAGAATTGTTGCACAGCAACTGATAAATCTAAAACCAACTTGTTATGTCAATTCTAGGTTTTCGGTCTATTTGGCAAATAGCAGACAAACAACCGACCCATCCCTAATTTTAATGTTCCTGTTTCTGTAAAAGCTAGCAGACGATAAGTTTTAACTTCAAAATCAATCCTACGAGGGTAGTTTTTTAAATAGGGGCCGTTTCGCGTATAGCTCTGCAGTTCCTGTGTACGCCTTGCAATGAGGCTCCTTGCCACTTACTGGCATCATTTGTGATCAGAATAACACCATTTGCAGCTCGACACCATTTGCAGCTCTGTAGCTGATGTGTACGCTTCGCCGTATCTTTTTAAAACTTTTTAAATTATTGAATCTCCCGCCGCACGCGAGATAAGGTCAGTGATACCTTTTTTGATTAAAAGAAACGTATATAATGCCAACACTCATCGCTAGATGACTGAAGGTTATAGCCCTAACGCAATGAGTGAGGGTTAAGTGCCACAATGGTTTGTGGAGTGTAAATATGGCTGTGGGGACCTTTTTCCTTTAGTGGTCTTCTGTGAGAAGTCTAGGTACCCACAAAAAAATCCTTCCTAAATGAACATTTGCAATGCCATTTGTAAACTCCCTAGCCCATTTCTGCACTTTCCCTTCTATAATTGCACTACGGTCATAAACTTCAGTCATCTGCCAACTAATGGCTTCTGCCCATGTGTTTCTTGTGGTTAAAAACGCATCACTGACCTTTTTCTCACCCGCGGTTGAAGATTCAATAGTTCAAAAAACACACAGCGAAATGTACACATCAACTACAGAGCTGCAAATGGTGTAATTTTGTTCACCAAGGATGCCAGTAAGAGGTGAGAACTGATGCTGTGGATACACAATCTACAGAGCTATACACAAACACGGCCCTTACTTGAAACACTACCCTTGTACAATAAATCAGATTACCAAGGAAATATGGTATGAAAAAAGCTTGGTTATTTTCTACAAGTGAAACTTGTTTGTATCCAATATGTCAATGTACCAGAATAGATTATGACAATGCTTAATTAACAATTGTAGCCTAGTTTAGTGTTATCTAATCTTCAATTTTCAAGCAGGTATTTAATAAAATCTCAAATATATGGTTATATATTTTTAATTACGGTAGTGCTGTTAAAATATTAATTCTAGTTCTTCTGTTAATAATTTTACAACTAATTCATGTATAATCTTGAAGTTCTTAATAGATTTTATAATCATAACTATTGTAATACAGGTCTTGCATCAAGGACCAACACTTATACTGAAAACTTTGGCAATTTTAGAGGTATCGTCCGTCTGTTTGCTAAAACCATGCCTATTTTTTGTGGATTTTGTCACTTTGCATGTTGTAACAAAACATATGCTACCAAAAAAAAAGCTCTGTGGTTGTTTGCATTTCTTTTTAATTTCATGTTTGGAATATTTTTTGTTGTTTAACCAGATTTTTTATGTTTATTTTGTTTTGATTTTATGGTAGTGAGTAACACCCCTTGATTTTTTTATTCGCCAAAAAATACTTATGTGACAGATGGCATCTTTCATTTAAATATGTACAATGAAACAGTGGTTGTCTATATATTATTATCAGCAACCTATGTACAGGGTTTAATACACAGAATAAGTTAGAACCCTCTGGTAATATATTTACCTACTGACCCACCAGTCTATAATCCGAGGTCAACTGTATGACTAGGTAATTTATAGATTGTATTTATGACTGTATTTGTATGTGTGTTTTTCATGAATCCTTTAGCAAATAAAAAACTGTTTCTTGTTTAGGTTACTTAACTTGAAATTTTGCTCAAAAGTTTATTAGTTTAGTAAAATAGTTACTCAGTTATGTTTGTATATGGTTCCAGCAGTGGTTTCAAAATTGTGTAAATTTAATAATTAATGTCAAATCTTTTTGAAACTGTTGAAGTCAGCCACACAATTTTTTTACACATACCAAATAGTAAAAGGCCATCAAAATGATTTTTTTCAAAATGAATTGCAGATTGACAAATTTTAAATACTTATACAAAAATCATTGCTGAAATTTTGAAATAATTCTGTTTTTTTAGAGCTTAGTAAAGCAGAAGCAGAAATGTTCAGTATTGGAGGTATAACAGACTCAGACGATCCTTCATGCGCCATATGTCTTTGGGAAGATGAAGAAACACAGCGATTCTATACAGAGTTTCCCAACCTCAAAGATTACTTGCCAAACTACAAAGTTGTCAAATCAGATAAAGCCTCTTCTGCTACGGTATAGTACTCTTTCCTACGTTATTCAATTATTTTTAACTTTCTCACTTAATATAGGCTCCTGATTATCCATAAGTAGATGCCGTCGTTTACTTTGCCGACTATTGATGAGTCATTGATTACAACAAGCGAGTTGATAAATTAAATTTCATTTGTGTTTTACCTTTATTATTACTAGATCTATACATAGTCTTTCAAATATTATTTGTTTTGTAAATAGACGTGTGTGAAACAAAGTTGAAAGGTATTTAAACTGCATTTAAAATGTTTTCATTTTTACCTAAATGTATATTTAAGCTTGAACAACTTAACTATAAATTTAAAGTCAATGATAGTTTCTTCTCGGCCATTTTAGGTTAGAATTACGATCATGCATTACTCAGCCACTCATTATCGTTGATACTCGGGAGTCTACGGTACACAGGATACTCATTTGCTTTGCACTTTGTAAATCTTCATACTTCTTCACAAATGTGATGTCTCATTTACTTGTTTATTTGTCATACTTGTTCAGAATATATAAAAAAAATATAAAAATACCGTACTAAGTGAGATAAGAGAAATAATATGCATGCATATATGCTCTCTATCTGTTCAGTTTATATCTAAAAATAATAAAAGATAAAGAATCCTCATAAAAAACAAACATTTTAATTGCCTGAGACTTGGCCCATACATTCCACACACACATTTTACCGTAACAAATTCACAAAGCCTCACTTACCTACACAAACACAAATCAAATCTTACACTCACCAGTCACCACTCACTCAGATCAAACATTTCACCGCCACTACCTTCACCGTACTCACCTTGCAATGGTTCACAACTAGGTCCAGCTGACCTGGCTATGACTAAAGAACCAGCTGGTCTTAGCCAGTAAGAATGATAAAATAAGAAGACTTTTACCTGGAATACATATTTTAAATAAAAAGTACGTTCCGTTTAGAAATATATAAAATGTACTAACGATTATAATAATTTCTTGTATATTTTAGATGACGGAAGAGAAACTCGATGAAGATCTCAAAGAAGAAGAATTGGAAGATGACAAGAAAGAAGAAGAAGTGGTGGCTGAAACTATTGAAGGTACAGCTAAACGTAGCAAAGTGGTATTTCATCAAGTCTTATTTTCATGGATGCAAATAACTATAGTTCAGCTAGCCAGACGTATCACTTAAGAGATAAGGAGACTTTTAACTCATAACTCATAGGAGGTGCACATACGCATAAATACCATGAATAAGAATAAGAATAATAAATATTTATTTCCATTGATCTTTATAAAAGAAATAGGACACGTCATTTGTTATACATAGTTACAAGGTGATTCAGTGTTTACAGTACAATATATCTAAATTTAAATGGCCACTTGCATGAAAATAAAAGCTTCAACTTGCTCTTCAAAATCTAAAATTTATTTCACAACTTCAAAAATCATCAATTTTGTAAAAGGGATTTTTAACAATCCAGTCATACAGCTTATTTTTAAAAATACTGTAAGAAACTAACTTTGCTTCTTCAGGCAGCTTATTAAAAAACATTATACAATTTAATTTATGTGAATGTTTGGTTTTTGCCAATCTGTGCTGCAATATATCTATTTTATCTTTTATCCCTACCTCTGGCATAGTGGTTGTGTACGTCTTTTCGGAAAGAGAATTGATCTAACTTTGACTTTGTATATATTAGAATTTGTAACCAAAATATAAAGATTTTCCATGGTTGGTATCCTGAAATTAATGAAAAGAGGTTTATAGTGTTTAGCTGAGTATTCTCCAGCAATGCTTCGAATCGCCTTTTTTTGGAGTAAAAGGATGACATTAATATGTGGAGAGTGGCCCCACAAAATAAGACCATATAGTATGTGTGATTGAAAGAGTTCAAAATATGCCAATCTTAAATATTCTTGACTAACAAAATCCTTAAGTTTCCACAGCAAGCACCTCACTCTTGAAATGTTGTTACAAACAGATTGTATGTGTGCAAACTGATTCAAATTTCTGAAAACCAATCATATGCTCTCAGTTCAGCCTCTTGACTAATTTAGTGCAGGGTTGTTAAATTAGAATGGTTAGCAAGTAAAGTTGTATCATAATCAAATCAAATATGTCTTTATTCATAATATGTTCAATGTACATCCGCATATATAACAGATTGTGTATTTATATTTATAGGGAGATCATTAATGTAGACGTTAAAGAAAAAGGGCCCTAGTACAGAGCCCTGAGGAACACCGGTTTGAACTTTTTCAGTTTTAGAACATGGAGTTGGTGGTAAGTCAGTATTGGATGGTAAACGTTATTTTCTTTATACCAACCACAATGTTCTGGATGCTGCAACTATCGGTAGAATCTCACACATAGCATACAAATGCAGATCCCAGGAGTTAATTGTGTCGGCTTCTATCAAAATTCGTACAGTCATAATAATTCGCTGATATTCCAACCACTGTTGACTAGTTCTCGAGGAGGATTGCAAAGGATTTGTCTTTATCTCCAGAGCAGTGTCAATTAAAGATAACACATAACTTTGCTCAATGTCCTTTTTTGTTTTTTGACCGGTCATAATACCCTCGAGTATGTCACAAAGTTTTCTGGACAAATTCTTGGAAAGTTCCATGTTCATTGGGAGGAAAAACCTCTGACACTATTAGGGTATTGAGGGCTGCATCTACAATCATACGTCCTCTCTTCGCCCTAGAAACAGCTTTTCCAGTCATCAATAAAAAATAAATACTCCTGATCCATTCATGAGAGTGCCAATTGCACCCAATACATTTCATCAGCCTATGGAATGTTCCAAGCATTAAAGTAATGTCTTGAAGCTCGTTTTCAGTATTCATGATTTGAGAAGCTTTCCATAATAAAGGCTGATCAAAAGTAACTACACATGGAAAACTATGGTTGTATGCTAATTTGTTAAAGTATGTTAGTGTAGAAAAGATACAACTCATGTCTCCCGCTGCCATATCAATTTTAGGATGAAATAAAATTGAAGATTTCCCTGGGTGTGTAATATCAGATTTTATTCAATTATATTTCAAGAACCCCTCGAGGGAGGGGAAACCCTATGTGAGTTACCTCGTTTGACACCTAGAAGCATCGGTCCACCCGATTTTGAATGCATTATCTGCATAGCTCCAGACCAACTCAACTTTGTCCAAGTTTTTGATGACAATATCACCAACATTATCCCTTTTCACAGTAGGGTAGATCGTGTTTTTGGAGCAATTGCCCCAATCACACCATGAAAGGTAGCCTATTCTTATCGTCAAAAATACAAATATTGTGATCCTCATTGCCTGCTGCTAGGAAAGGGGTTGTGTCTTCAGCAACATTAAAAGAAGTGCAAGCACCTGAAACCGCTGTTTTTTTTTAATATCTAGATACTTCAGCGTATGATGAACAAAATCCAAGATTGTGTAGACCGTCAATAAGGCCCCTTGATCTATAAATGATGAAGCTGAACAGACTGACCAATTTGTAAATGACATAGTAATGCTCTAGGGTGGATAGATTGCATGATGGTGGATAGATTGCTCTATTTTATCTTAAAAATAAAAATAAAATACTATCTCATCCTCTTATTCCCTTATTCCCTAGATGATTTTATAAATTTATTTAGTAAGGGGTTTTATGTATGGATTTATAAAAGAAAGTAATGTAGCATTAAGGTAATTTTTGCTAAGGTAGTACCTAAGGGTCTATCATAAACAAGTCATATATGTGTATATGTGAAAATCAGAACTTTGTAAACATGAAGAATAAACATTTCATTTAATTACGTTTTATTTACAGAGATTGAAGAGTCAGATAACAATAGTGCCAACAATAAAATATTGTTGGATGGATTTTTGAACCTGCTTTCAAATTGTGTCAATCGGGAAATGATTGACAATGCTGCGATTGAGTTTCTCATGTACCACAACACCAAACATCATCGCAAGAAACTGGTCAAGTAAGTAAAAGTAAATATTTAGTAATAATTTAAGAGGTTTCGATACAAACATACATTGATTCTTGATACTGTTTTCTATATTAATTGCATCACAATTAAAGCCTTTATAACATGTGTTGATGTGAAACCAAACAACAAACAAACAAACTGCTTAGTTCATAATAGGGATAACAACTGCATAGTAAAACCTTGTAAGCAATAACAAATTAGTTGGCTATAAAATATTGAAATCAAACATGTTGTATAACTCACGTTCAACAGACAATTTATGTTTTTTAAATGGGTGCTATAGTTTACACAGTTGTATATTGAATGAACTATTTCTAGTTTATAAAGCAATAAATTCCATCCCACAAAGACCAGCCCAACAGCTCTCTGAAGGTATTACAGACTCCAGACATCTTCCTAACGTCAACCATAGACTATCCAACACAAGTATACTTCTCACTCCATTGTAAAATCTCAAGTTTGGTTTTCATGTCTAGTTCATGTTGGTGACACTGGGCACTAGTGTTGACAGAATTTTTTTTCTATTTTTTAGGACGAGTTATTTTTTATTACAATTTTTTTTTATTGGATAAAAGATGTTTTTAATAGCTGAAATAACAAGGAACAAATTATAAACAAAAACATGATCCTAGTGGCACCGGACGAAACTATCAAAAAAAGTGTCAAGCATACTGTGCACAAGTTTTTATCAACTTTGTTCTTGATATTATATTGTAAATGTCTTGTGTTTCTATAAAGCCGTGTTTACACTGGAGTTAGGAACACGTGTTTACAATAATGTTTCTAAAAAACCAAGAAACACAACTTTTAGAATATAAGAATTTTGATGTCGGAAACAGTTTTTCAGTGTTTACAATAGAAATTTGTTTTCCCACCAGTTGTCGGTAAAGATCAAAGGGTGTTCCAAACATAAGAAACATTTGTTTTGGAACAAAATGTTTCTATATGTTTTTCCTACAGTTACCTAACAATGTACATGTTCTCTCACTGATTTGAGAAAGCAAAGTGGCCAATTCGCTCATCAGTGAGACAATGTTAACCCTTTTAAGGCCGACGGCCGTAATAGGCACCCGCGGGTAAAACGGCGTTCACGGCCGGCGGCCGTAATAGCCCCCCGCGGGCAAAGTCACGTTCGCGGCCGACGGCCGTAATAGGCACCCGCCTCTTTCTTTCCATTCACTGGCTGCTTAATTTTTCCAAACGCCACAAACCTTGGTATTGTTGTGTAGGGGGATTTCCAGGCTACATGAATAACAGCAATGATTGCCGTTTTCGTAATTTTTTTTTATTTCTGTGCATTCTGCTAGCGAAATCAGCTTGCTTACTACGTACCGTGGTCTTCCGTCGTGAGTGAGGTATTGTTTACATTTCGTTGTGCGTTTTGGTAATGTTTATTGTTGATTGTACCTTTAACAAGATTGTTGTTTGTACATTTTAACATAAATTATGAGTAAAAGACATCGTGAAAAGTCACCCACAAGTGAAGGTACTCTAATACAGAACGTTATTACAAGTGGTGTTACTTTTATTGATGATGGTGACTTGTGTCCTACTGTTGAAAATGAACTGAGAGAAAATGATTCTGGTGAGGAGGATAGTGATTTTGACATAGCCGATGATACGGATGAGGACCCCGATTTCATTCCAGAGGATCATGAGGTAGAAGAAGAGGAGGGCGAAGATATTGATGATCCAGGGCCATCAACTTCCTCAGGTAGGCCTAGGCCTAGGGGTAGACCGCGATCATCTAACCTAGGTAATGATCAAAATAGTGGTGGTGGAAGTTTTGAAACTAGGCCTAGGCCTAGAGGTAGGCAAAGGCGTGTGGTAAATGATGACAAGGATGTCTACAATGTTCAATGGCCTATATTTGAGTCAGACGCCAATGCAGGGTGGAAAATCGTTTCGGAAGAAAATGATCTAGGTAATGTCACAGAGCAAGGATTTTATGAAGAACCAGGACCTAGACATTGCCCTGCTAACAATGCTAGGCCTATTGATTATTTCTACCTTTTTTTTACTGAGACATTACTGACAACCTTTGTTACTATGACAAACTTGTATGCTGCTAGGTACTTGGAGAAATTCCCAAATTCTTCCATAAAGTGGTCACCAGTTACATTGGCTGAAATCAAGGCTTTTATAGCAGTCATACTGAACATGGGCCTAAACAAAAGGCCTACAATTGACTGTTATTGGAGAACCAAAAGTAAAAGCCAATCCTTACCCTGGTTTAGAGAGATGTTCAGTCGTAACCGCTTCGAAATTATTTTACGATTCTTCCATATAACCGATTCAAGTGTCCTCCCTAAGCCAGGAGAACCAAATTATGACCCATGCTCTAGATTCTCCCTGTTAGTAGAACATGCCAATAGAGTTTTCCGACGTTATTATGTACCACATCGAGAATTGTCCATAGACGAGAGTTTGATTGGTACAAAAAGCCACACAATGATGACACAGTATTTGCCCAACAAACATCATCATAGGTGGGGAATCAAATTATGGATGATGTGTGATTCTGTCAGTAACTATTGTTTGGGCTTTTTCTGTTATAAAGGGAAAAAAGAAAATGAACTGAATGAAAACAAGCAAGAAGGTTTGGCCCATAAAGTTGTAGTTAAATTACTAGAAGTGGGAAACTACCTAAATAAGGGATACCACATTTTCGTTGACAATTTTTTTTTGTCCATACCATTAGCTAGGTTTCTGTTCTCAAAAGAAACATATATTACTGGGACCATAAGGAGGAACAGGCAGGAAATCCCATACATAATTAAAGAGAAATTAAAAGTTGGTCAGCAGTGCTACGTAAGAAATGAAAATGAAAATATCCTTATGCTCAGTTACCGAGAAAAGAAGACCCAGAAAAACCCGGTTCTTTTGCTGTCAACTAAGTTTAAGGCAAAAACAGTGGAGAAAACAAAGAAAAGGCAGAATGATTTTATTACTAATAAAAAGCCAGAGGTCATAGATAAATACAATATGTTTATGGGTGGTATTGACACTTCGGACCAGATGGTGTACTGCTATCTAGATGAACGCAGAACTCTGAAGTACTGGCGTAAAGTAACATTTAACATCATGGCTCGAATGGTTTTGAACACTTATATATTGTATAAAGAGAATAATTCTGGTAAGATCCTGAATAGATACGATTATACAGCTGACATTATTGATCAATTAGCTGAGGAGTGGTTTGAAACTCGACAAGTTGTTGCGCCTGTGGGAGGAGGTGGAGATGGAATCGACCATTTACCTGGTAGGTTAGAGAAAAACTGTACAGTGTGTAGCCCTATCAGTACAGCAAATGGTGGACCAAGGAAAAGATCCAGATATTGTTGCAAAAGGGGTATCCATCCCCTATGTTTTGGACAACATCGCTGTAAATAAGCCTGTCGGCGTTGAAGATGTATATAATTTTTGTGTGTGTATATAAGTTAGGTTAGGTTGATTAACTCTTATTTTTTGTTTTTATTATGTGTAGCTGTAATTTATTTTGACTGAAATTATGGAACTACAAGTGATATGGAAGTGTTAGGGCATTCGCTTGCATTTCGCATTTTGGATGAAAATCAGTGTGGTGTCACCGTTCATATGATACGCCATAACTCAACTTCAAATAAAGGTAGGCACTTCAAAATTTGTAATTTTACTAATAATTAACTATAGTTTATATATATGTATGGTTACAAGTGATATATGAAGGTAGAATATTTTTAAGTGAAGGCCAAACATAAAATTTATAAAAAAAAATTAAAAAAAATATTATTTTTGAAATTTTTTTTTTATTTGTAGAATTTGTGGGTAATTTGTATATTTACTGAAAGCCTATTCGATTTCCAACAAGTAAAAAAAAATTATTGGTTTATGATAAAAAATAAAGCTGTTATGAATTTTTAACCAAAACTATGCTCGCCAGCTGGAAAATCACCTGGCCTTTCTGGGACAAACCACAATAAAACAGCTGGCCTTTGAGGGATGGGCGCCGTTTTGGTGCTTGGCCTTAAAAGGGTTAACATTGTCTCACTCTAATTACTTTGTCTCACTCCAGATTTGCAACGTGAAGGCACGAAATAGTGAGCGCGTAACATGCAGGCAACGTCGTATGCGCGCGAAATACGTTGGCAGCACTGGCTGTTAATCAGCTGGTCAGTTGTTGTACTGTTGTATTTGTCACTTCACATTTAATGTTATATTAAAAGTTCACTTCTGAGTAAAAATAGGTTATGTTTCTTCACCAATTTATTTGTTTAATGGTAACTGTAGGAAAAGTATAATGTGCAACTCGAGTTCAAAGTACAATTGCCTCACTCGAGAAACCATTCCTCACTCGCCTACGGCTCGTGAGTAAGGATTTCTCTCGAGTGAGTCAATTGCTCACTTTTCTCACTAGTTGCACAAATAACTATTCTGTACTTCTACGATCTTTAAAACACTTCCCTGCTACCCCTCCAAACATTTTGTTCCAAACTTTGGTGTAAACACGGCTTAAAACATCCACGCTGATGGGTTGATATGTCAAGCATTCTGTTCATAAGCTTGTTATCAACTTTGTTTCAGAACTTTGTTTGGAGTACCAAGGACCAGGCTAGATTTGCTTCCGTTCTATGCAAGATTGGTAGCCATTCTCAACCCATTGTTGCCTGATATTGCCACGGATCTCTGTCTCCTACTGAAGCACGATTTCAAATATCACGTGAGGAAGAAGGTGAGTTTTCATGTTGGTTCTTAAGTTGTATAGTTTGAATTTGGGTAGTTGCAACTACATCTCTTCAATTTTCGCATTTCCTCTTGAGGAAGAAACTTTAAAAGTCATTATAGTAATGTGTAGAATCAAGCCAGTCAGTTGTCTTATTAGGGTATGAGGACTCTAGAAATGAACATTGTACAGAACCAATTGAAGCTCAGTTGACAAGTTCAACAGCTGTAATCCAAGTTTAAGTGTAATCCTTAAAACCAGTTAAACTTTACTTCTCAGCTAGGAAATATTTCTTGATTCAAATCAGGAGTTCGGAACAAGACTTATTCTTGTAAGGGCAGCACGTTCAATTATAAATCATACAGTTTTGCGTTCAAATGACCATTTTTCTGCAGCTGTGGAAAATCTATTACACTAGCAGTTTAATTTAGGGATTAAACTAAATAGAACTGGGTATTTGTATATAGCTCGCAAAGAGGTATTTAAAAAGAATTTTTATTTGACACTATCCAAAACTGTACTAACACTATATAACTACTTTATTTCTGCGTACAGGACCAGATAAACATTGAGTCAAAGCTGAAGGTGATCCGTTTTATCGCAGAACTGGTAAAGTTTGAGCTATACTCCAAAATTGAGGGACTTTACTGCCTTAAAATTCTACTGCACGATTTCTCTCATCACCACATTGAAATGGCATGCACAATGCTGGAAACTTGCGGCAGATTCTTCTTTAGAAGTCCAGACACTCATCAGAGGACCAAGGTCTACTTGGTAAGTATGAATTGATGAGAGTTGTGCTAACAAATATCATTGTCCTTTATACTCAAAACTGAATATAAATAGCAATAATCTTAACTACTTGGCTATTTCCTACTTTTGAAGAAGTAAAGTAACTTACTTAATACATTCATCAGCAGTTTACCCTTCATGGTTGTAGTCTTCAAAAGAGTATCTATACACTGCAATTGCAAATAGTAGGAATGAAAATAAAATAGTTGTTTACTGTATTTAAATGGATTTGGAAAAAACTAATTGTTTTTTTTTTTACTTTTATGCTATTGGGTGTTCAAATGATTGTGTAGTTTCTGGTGCTTGCCCTCTTCATTCCTATGGCTACATTGGATGTAGTAATTTTACATATTCCCATATCCATGATATCTTATTTTCTTATTCTATGGTCTCCCAAAATGATTGTTGATAATCAACAAGCTTTTTTGTCAAATTCTTTGAATTAGAGATTCAGTTTGAAAGTAATTAAAATTCTATGAGATTAATTTTTTGAGTATAATGCACTCGGCTTAGGAATACATTAAAGGACAGGGAAAGGAATGCATCATCAGCTTTAATATTAAGTTCATAACTCTAAGTTGTAAAGTTCATTAACACTTGAGCACCCCTATTTTAAACTCTTTATTTTCATAACTTTCAGGAGCAAATGATGAGGATGAAGTCAGGGAAAGCGTTGGATTCGAGATATGTAACAATGATAGAGAATGCTTACTATTTTGTGAATCCGCCCGAAAGTCCAGCATCAAAAGTAAAAGAACGTCCTGTAATGCATGAGTTTATACGACATATTCTATACCAGGATTTGACAAAACACACTGAGTCCAGCAAGGTTCTTGACTCAATGAGAAGGTGAGTCATTAATTATTCTGTGAGTGGCTGGGTAGCTTTAGTCATATTGTCAAGTTTTACTTAGTTTATTATTGTTCATTAGTTGGACTTTACCTACTCTTCAATTGTTTAAACATTGAACAATCCTGTTCAAATCCTGTTTGAACATCTCCTGTGTTTTAGCAGATGAGAAATTCTTGGGGCCAACTCTCCTTAAATTTCTTAATGTACCAAATTTTATGTTCCATTATCCCTGCAGTGACTTAAGCAAATATTCTATACTATTGAAAGAATAAATGGTATCTTTCTATCTTGGTAAATATTTGGACCAATTCCGCTGAAATGTTGCAAAAGTATATGAACAACCAACTATAGATTAAAAACAATGTGGCTGCCACTTAATTTTTATGTTTATGAGTACAATTCAATTCTTCTATGCTTGACACATTCCAAACTCAGACTTTTGATGCCCATCTGAACGGGAAAATTCAAGGTAAAAAAAAAGGCCACTGATCTCTCCTTTAAAACCCTTGGTGATAGGGTGGCTCAGTTGGTAGCGCCATGTACTATGGCCCGAAGCAGCAATATATTGGGTTCGGATTCTGTTACCGATTAGCTCTAGTTCTAAGCTGTTGATAGCACACAAAAAGTTCACAATATAAATAACTTTTTTTATTTACAGTGTATTATTGGATATTTTTCTCCAAGGAGATTTCTTCAGAAGAAAATTAAGTTAGTTATGTATCCGTTCCTCCTTCCTAATTTTATTCTCAAGGCAAGTTTTTTCCCTGTAAAAATCTATTTATGCTCTATAATTAATTTTCAGACTGAATTGGAGAGACCCACAAATATCTGCTTATGCCATTAAATGTCTGACACAAGCGTGGAATGTTCCTTATCCCAATATCAAAGACTTGGCCAACCTCCTAGCTGGCCTTGTTGAATACCAGGTGAGTTGTGAAATCAATGTACCATTGCCAAACGTAAAAAGCCAACACATTGATACACTTACAAACAAGCGCCTTTTATATTGGATAATGGTTCAACGGGGATCAGATTTATTGGTACTAGTATTGTTATGTTTTACAATCGTATTGACCCTATTTATATGCATTATGTGTACCACTTAAATAAATAGAAATATTTTGAGTTTTTACTAAGCTATTGGCATTTTAAGTTGAATAAACACTTTTAAGGGAAGTGGTCCAAACTCATCAAACATAAAGAAGATCCACACTACTGGACCTTAGATTAAGTTATTGAGGATTGAAAAAAGTCACAGTACCTGACTCAATGTATCAAACTGTAATTCCTAATATGTTGCAGTTAAATATCGATAAACTGACACATGATAGTATGACACGCTCGGTAATCCGTAGGTGTAATGAATGAGTTTGTATCCATACTGTTATTGTATTGGCCGATATACTGGTATTTAATTTGTGTTGAGACAGGAGTCTCACGTCTTTCCAATCTGGTTCTGGGGACCTTACAATTAACAGGGGTTATTAGGTGGAATAAGTAAATTGCTGTGCTTTGTTTAGTTATTTGTCAACTGAACTGAAGTTCCTGACTTGTTAGCATTTCGCTATGTGATGCAGATGGGCAGAATGTAATTTTTTTTAGGTTATTGTGAACAACATTCAGGCTATGAGAAACAGCTGTTAGCAGTTAGCAGTTAGCAGTTAGTAATCTAAATCAAATAGGTTTTTGTAATGATAACAATTGTTGTTGTCAAAATAATGCCTAAATTGATTATTATTACTGCCAACATTTCAGTACTACATAGTAAACCTTCCCTAGTCCCACATTATTGAGCCAACCATGTATTTCTTCTACAGGAGTTTGTGGCAGCCCATGTTGTTGATGGGGTGCTAGAAGACATAAGAATAGGAATAGAAGTGAATACCAAAAATCTAAACCAGCGACGAGTGGCAATGGTGAAATACTTGGGTGAACTGTACAACTATCGAATGGTCGAAAGCAATGACATTTTCAAGGTAACTATAGTTTTAGATTAGAAAGTACAACTAAAATAGTAAACGTGTTTAAAGCCATGGAATATTTAAGTTTAACTCGTATAAATTATGATGTAATATCACTCTCATTGTTTTCATTGCAGTAATCAAAATTATTGAATTGTTTTTATTTGCAAGATATCCCAAATACAGAGACAACAAAAACCTATCCCTTTTTTATAGGTGGACACGCAGCTTCGTAAGAACCTAAACCACAGTTACCAAATGGATTTAATCGCAGGCCTCCTACATCGTGATGCCACACTAGACCAGTCGAGCCTCATTCATAACTGAACCAATTAAATTATTATAATTTTAGGCTATTTAATAGTTGAAAACATAATCAATGTTTTAGACTGAATGCAAATTTTTAATCATATGACTTATAACACACTGTATTGTTTTGTTGGAAAGGTCCTTTATTCTTTGATCGCCTTTGGGGTTTCCTTTGACTACGACAGAGTTTCACCAATAGATCCGCCAGATCAATTGTTTCGCATTCGCCTAGTCTGCACACTCCTTGAAACCTGTGGACAGTATTTCAGCCACGGACCCAGCAAAACAAAGTTGGACTACTTCTTTGTTTTCTTTCAGGTAAATTACACTTTACGTTAGGCAAGAAATAAAGCGGTTAGCGATTTTTTTTTAAATTTGTATTCAAACTGTCAAAATTATGTCGGGAAATAATAATATGAGGTGTAATATTTTTATTTATTAATTATTCATACAATTAACTAAATAATAATTTAATATATGATATAATAAGATTTTGTGTTCAGTTTACTTTTGCTGTAAAATGTAATGTAAAAAAAAAGAAAATGAAAACTGATCAATTGAATCCGGAACACAACTGAATTAAAAAGCAAAAAAATTACAAAAGATAAATATGTACATTTACTTAGACTTAAATAGTTCTTTATTGATGTGTTATCAAATGCTATTAAAATTGCTTTTATGATTGAAATTTATGAGATCTAATAAAAAATCTGTTAATATAATAAAACAATGAGCTATACTTAATTTATAGTTCTTAAAAGATAAACGTTACTTTTAAGATAAATTAAATAGGTAGTTAAATGTTAAATAAATATTTCATCATAAGTTACGTATCATACAAGATAGTAAACTATTTTATACAATGAGATTACAGTTATTGTACAAATATCACCCATACAACGTTCTAAAATGTTTTTTATTATCAGATTTAAAATTTTGTGTGTTTATTGAAGATCCACAAGTTACAACAATGTAATTGTCAGTTTATGCAGATTACAATGGTATACACTATACAATATATGTTACTAATTTGTTTTGACGATCAGGGACTGTTTTATCAAAGCGCAGCACCAAACCCCGCTTTATCCCCTTGCATTGCTTGGGCTGAGTTTCGGCGACTTGTGTGACGTCACCCCGCGGCTTGACTCTGGCCTGTAGTGTAGTGGGGTCTTGGCTTGACAATTTCTTTCTTGTAGAACTCAAAAATATTTTAAAATACCATTACGGTATTATATCCTATGTAAAATAATCCATGTGCCCCAGTATACCATCTTATGCCACTGTCTCATTATATAAAATCTTATTTTATGTTGAATATTTAGTTTACTGGCCTTTGTAAAAGTTAAAATCTACATACTACAACATATTTCTAAAATCAAGTTTTTTTTTACTTTTTCCTCCATGGATTAGATACAATCATATTTTAAGTTGCATTTTTGATTTTGCCATCCTTGTAAACATTGAATTTGATATACTACACCCTATATCTAAAGGTAAGTTCCTCCTGCTTAATGCATTCCTACCAACCAAGAGTTCAGTTTTCCCTACAAAAAACTACTTACAACCTGTAAAAACTGTAAGATTTATTCTGTTTTTATGGTATGATAGAATTAGAATTAGATTAGAACTCTGCCTCATTTTAAAATGTATAATATTCCCAGGTGACTAATTTAAATCTGTTTCTGTTTCAGCATTACTTCTGGTTCAAACACTCAGACTCAGTTTGGACGGATGATAATCCATTCCCAACAAACATCAATCACATGTTCAGGGACTGTCTTACTAGTCTCAGGCCTACTATCAAGCTGTCAGAAAGTTACCAGGAGGCTGAAGAAAGTGCTCGTCAACTTACAGAGAAAATGAGGTCCAAATGGGATCCACTCATCAACTTCCAGCATGTAAGAATGCTGTGTTATTGATAATTTTAACAGGCTTCGTTTTTTTTTTAACAGAAATTAAATAAAAATATGTCTAATAACACTTAAAATATATATTTACACATATACTGTTGACTCCAAGATAGTAAATACATGTAATAGATGGTAAGGTGTCCCTCTTATCCGGACACCTTTTAACCGGACATCGGTTTAACTGGACTACACGCGGTAGAAATGACATCTCTTTAACTGGAAAACTTTTATCAGCACATAGGTTTAACCGGACTAGATCAGCAGGAAGTTAGCGGTACTGAAACAACTGTTCTTGTGGGAAAGATTTGAGACCAGTGATTACGTGTCTAAATACAATGCTCTCCTATATTGAAGTCGAATATCACAGTAAATGGTCCGTTTATACGAGTTTTAGGGACGTCGGCTTAACCGGAAAACCCGTTATCCGGACTGGCCTCGGTCCCGAGGAGTCCGGATAAGAGGGAGTCTACTGTAGTTATCGATTTCAATTTGAAACTGCATTCAACATCAGACTCAATAGGCAAATGACAGACATATTTTAATTTTCTTTCTGTAAATTTAATAACATTTTTTGTCTACTGTATTTTATCATTGACCACTCTTGCTAAAATGCATTAACATGGTGCTTGACAATAAAGACCACATAGTTACTGCATCATGTGGCAACAGTTTGTTCTTCTGGGGACTTGAGCTGTAAACCTGATAACTGTCTTTTGGAGGGCAAAGATTTTTTTCCTTGGCTAGGTTATCCCATACCATTATTCTTATTCCATTGTATATTATTGAAGAAAATATGTATGATAAATCATCAAATTGTTGTAGCGTCTCAAATCAAGCACTACGTTTGCTGATTATATATACATATAACAGTCAAAAAGTTCCCAAAATGAATTTTTTTCAACATTAACGAGATCATCAGCGGGAGATTTGCCTTGCAGTAGTTGGTACGACTCCTGGGGAGGGCATATCGGTAGTGGGGGTATAACTGACGAGCCATAATGCAGCATTGGTAAGCGATTTTCGTGTACCTGCAAGTCTACTTTGTCGGTTACTGTCGGTCGTGTTCCTGCATTGAAAAATAAAATGGCATTTCATGAACAGAGTGCGAACATTAAAATGCTGCACTACTGCTTGTCAGCTATACCCCCACTACCAATATGCCCTCCCCAGGCGTACTAACTATTGCAAGGCAAATCTCCCGCTGGCGATCGCACTAAATGTCTACAGAAATTCATTCCGGGAATTTTTTTACTGTAGTAGTAGTTTGTATTGGTCATTTCCAATTTATATTTGTATCTATTTCATAGCAAGATAACTTATGGATTTTTAAACGTGATTAAAAGCTTATCAGCCTACTTGAAAGTAGTTAATGCCTTTAATGGAATAGTCTGAAGCCAAGGTATTTTGTAGCTGTTGGCCTCTTTGGTAAATGAGACTTTTTGCATTATTAATATTGATTTTTGTTACTTAACATATACAAACTGTTGTCAAAATGTGTCAAAAAGGTTCAAAAATTAAAAAAAAGTTTTTAACTCAAGGATTTTGATTCAATTTGGCTTGATTGAGCTGTGAGTTTGTGAATTTAAAACAACAGTTTGGCTTGGCTTGAATAGATAAATTACTATTCCCATACTTCTAGTGTTTGTGGTGTTCTTCAAATTTTAAACTATGATTTCCTCCTTATTAAATCATATCCATCATCATATTTATTTGTTTGTTCCTCTATATTTTTCTTTGTAACTTCAAATAAACTTATTGGGCTACTTTCTTACCACATTTTGTTTTTTATATTTAGGTTTTAAAATCTCTGATCCTGATCTACTGATTTTCCAAAATACTCCTGAATTTTAAGAGGAGTGAAAATCCCTTCCAATCCCAACCTGCAAATCCAATCATACCCAATCAAACCGCTAAAGGTAAGACCACAACTTTATATGAATAAATGTGAAGTTTAATTATTTTACACTTTTACAGAGGTATCTTTCTTCTTTCAGTAACTTAAAAGTTTGCGTAATGTAGCATTGCTTAAAAATTGTTTGTTTTTTGTTCAGAATGATGATGAGCTTAATCCAATTATGGAGACAGAGAATGAAAATGAAACAAATGATGAAGAAGAAGATGACGTTGAGGAAGATTTGACTGGAGTTGATAATACCAGGCAAGGCTCATTGTCTGATGAAGGTATGTTTATTATTGTTTGAAACAAAATATTGTTTTGTAGTCTTTTATGATTATTGGTTGTGATAAAAGAAGGGAATAAAGAAAAAGAATATCTTCTCTGAAGGATGTGAACAGGAGCATAACATAAAATATTTGAAATAAGTTAATGTTCTTTAGCCAAAGAAACAGCTGAAGAGAAATCCTGTTTAGAAAACTTTTGCCAGGAAGGTACTGTTGGGACTATTAGCCTGGGCGCGCGGCTGGCTATGGCACGTGAGGAAAGGAGGTGGATATTACTCGTTAAATCCAGTAGGTGGGGGGTCTGAGCCGTGTGCACAGACTAATGGTCCCAACTGTCTAAAAACTGTAAACCACTAGTTTCTATAAATATAGTCTACAAAACTCACAACAACAACTTTGAGTTACTGTACTATCTATATATATAAAATCCAATGTATGTTTGTCTGTTTGTCCTTTATGGACTCTGAAACCGCTCAACAGATTGTGATGAAACTTTCAGGCATTATTTAGCACTATTCAAGGATGGTTTGTGTGAAGTTTGGTGCAGATGCGTCAAAAGAGCTCCGCCCCAGTGGCTCTGGAGTTTCCCATGTTAACCTTAGGAGTACTCATATTTAAATGGAATTAAATAATCTTAACAGCTGGTTCAACTAAACAATTTGATTCTGTGATGTTAAATAGCATTAAAAAGTTAATAGGTTTACCAACAGGGTGCAGCACTATTATTTTTTTAAATTTATGACAACAGCTAATTTGCAACTGAAGGTGAGTGAGCGTATCGAACGAACTTTAACCAGGACGTGATTGAGCTATGCGAACGAGCTCATCTTGAAAATGAACGAGCATTTTACATAAAACCACATTAGGACAGGACGAAGTCTGTCGGGCCAGCTAGTTTCAAATAATTGCCAAGCTATATATCCAAATTATAATACAAATTGTGAATAGCTTTACTAATACAGTAGAACCCCTGTCAACCGAATTTGGATGAACCGAAACCGGGGTTAACCGAAATGGTTCTCTAAAATAATATAGGGCTGTAAAATGTCTTCAGTTATGTTAGTACAAAAACTTACTATATAATTGGTATCACAATGTTTATTAGATAAGCAATCAATAACTTTACAATTAGCGTAAAAAAGAAGAATTCATAAAGTTAGCTATAATTTCTCAACATAAAATAAACATACAGTAAAATCTCAGGAATCCGTCAGATATTGGATCGTGAAATTGCCGGATTACTGGAATGTTATCAATAAAACAAATAAAATGCACTTAAAAAATGTCTTCGAAGATCACGCGATCAGAAACCACTATAATCCGACATTCCACCGCGATCGGACATAACGACAATGATGTTTCCGAAATTCTTCTTCGAGACGATGTTAATGTTTACACGGCCGTGGGAGATGTTCATGACTTTGCCACGATCACCCAAGACGACGATGACGTTTCCGTGATTGCGGGAGTGGATGGTGATATTTACAGGCCCGGGGGAGGAGATCAGATTTTTGCCGTGGTCGCGGAAGACAACGATAATGTCTACATGACCACGGGATATGGTCAGGATTTTGCCGTGATCGCGCAAGACAACGATGACGTTTCCGTGACCGCTGGAGTTGATGATAATGTCTAAACGGCCGTGGGAGATGTTCATGATTTTGCTGCGATCGCGCATGATGGCAATGACGTTTCCGTGTCCGCGAGAGGCAATGATAATGTCTACATGACCACGGGATATGGTCAGGATTTTGCCGTGATCGCGCAAGACAACGATGACGTTTCCGTGACCGCTGGAGTCGATGATAATGTCTAAACGGCCGTGGGAGATGTTCATGATTTTGCTGCGATCGCGCATGATGGCGATGACGTTTCCGTGTCCGCGGAAGACAACGATAATGTCTACATGACCACGTGATATGGTCAGGATTTTGCCGTGATCGCGCAAGACAACGATGACGTTTCCGTGACCGCTGGAGTCGATGATAATGTCTAAACGGTTGTGGGAGATGTTCATGATTTTGCTGCAATCGCGGAAGACCTCACCCGCCAAAAGACGCCGGATTACTTGAGTGCCGGAGTGGCGCAGTGCCGGATAGAGTCTCCTGTACTAGACAATTTTACCCACTCAATGTTGGTTCAATAAAAATATAAATTTAAAAAAATATTAATATAAAAAATATAAATATGAAATAAAACTTGAGATAATAATGTTTTAGGGGAAGAATCAGATGAGGAAAAATCAGTCGCTCAAAGTTTGAAGAGCTTAAACAACGAAGACGAACACAACAACATAAAACACATGAAAATCATTGACAGAGGTAAGTAAACAGATTTAACCATAGGTTGAATGACAACTGTCTACTTTTATGGTTTTGAGGTACTTTACCTATTGCTTTTTATAACTGTCCGAAGTGGACTTAATGCATACCGGTAATTAAGTGTATGAATTAACTGTTTGTATTTAACCTAGAGTCATTAACCCAGATTAAGCACAAATGAAAAGTTTTACAACACCTAAGTTTTACATTTTTTATATCTGTTAGCTCTATATTATACATTACTAATATAGAGTATCATGTGCCTTCAAAATGGAAAACAGTTGAGTGTGAGGCATCACACAACGCAGGATTGGCATGTGCACAGATTATATTTTGAGAAACTTGATTTCAGCATATAAGGCTCCATTTTACAGATGAACCCTCATTTCACTAGGGACTCATTGTGTTAGGTCCAAACTGCCATTAAGTCAAAAGATTAAATATGGCTTTCACTATTTCAAAGATAATACATTTGCTGTGAAGATTAGGTCCAAAGAGGTAAAAGTCATTGCTAAAACATACAAGTTTGTATTCTAATACTAGTAATACAGTTTGTGAAAGTTTTAGTTTGGCCACGATAGTCACTGAAGTAAGTAGTAGTATAATGATAAGTGCTATTTTCCTATTTGGAAGTAGGTAATAAAATGTTAGGTCCTATATCTGCTAATGCAGTTTTTGGTATTCAAGAACCTTTCAAATGTTAACTACACCTTGTAGCACAGTTTAACTTTGTATAAACCCAGCATTAATGTAAACTAAAATACTCAAAATATGTTTATAAGTATCAATGATCAGGTACATGATCTTTGATTGATTCCACTGTTTGATAATCTACAGGGTGTTTTTTTATAAAACACAACCTAAATAATTAATTACAAGTACACATTGTCACTGTTTAATGACAAAATAAGCTAATAAGTAGCTCTGCTTTCTTTACTTCATTGCCGATCAGCTGAAATGCATTTTTCATTCTTCTCTCCATCTGTTATTGTTATTGGGGATTTATTTCTTATAATACTCATTATGTTTTTCTTCAAACCGTAACTGGTATTTAAGATTGATTAATTCATACTTGTGAAAATATCAGATTATTCATCTTTACATTTGTTACATGTTATAACCCTAGTTGAATAATTAGGTACTAGAACCTGTAAACTTAACTCTAACCATTTCTCAATTTATAAAAAAGTCTTAACGTTTAAAATGGTATTTTAGAATACATTATCTTTGAACTTGCAAAACACAATGTTGAGTTTTATTTACAATTAATTCCAAATTACACTAAGCCATTTAGAAAACAATGAAAAAATACTTATCAGTTGGTCGGTAACGAAGTAAAGGAAGCAGGGATGCCAACTTATGACCTTGTTTAGTCCTTAAACCACGACCCATTGTCCTTTTAATTTGGTTTAAGTTTTATAAAAAATATTCTGTAGAATATCAACCCCCTTGGTCATGTCCCTGATTCATCATTGATATATTTGTCCAATCGTTAATGCTTTTCTGTTGTTTAAAATTTTGATGTTAAATGTTAGATTATGGTATATTTTGTTATAGAAGAGACCCAAAATGATGCTGTAGTGGAGAACGGGAAAAAAGACTGGATTAATGACAACGATGATCTTGACGTAGACTCAGACAACGATCTATCGGACAATCAGGTTAGTATTACTCAGGTCCATTTTAAACTCATTCCACTTCGTGAGAATTTTTGTTGTGTTCTAACCAAACAGTGAGAGGTTTATCTTGTCAGAAAAAGGTTTAATAGAAGTAAAAAATTGCTGTAACCAAAATAGATTAATGAGTGCCGGCTGATGGCATGGTTGGCTGTACGTGAACAATTAATACACTAGACATTATGAGGTAAATAAAACACTTGAACACATAAAAAAATACTTGTGTATTCATGTTATAAAATATGAAGCTTCAGGTGTATTCAATAACTATGCAAAATATATTTTCTTTGTCTTGAGTATCGTCTTCATTTGAGAAATTATATCTAGTAATATTTTCTTCAGGGCAACTACATATATACTATTCTCTTATCAATTTAAGACTATACTCACTGATTCTAATACAGCTAGCCAACAAATGTTCCAAACGGGAGGGTTGGCTGTTCAATTGGTTTAAATAATTCTTGCAGTTACTGTACTTTTGGACATGATGAGATTTGGAGGTTGTGCAACAGTCGAATAGTGTATTTTGATTTTGAACGTCGTGACACTTACTTAGGCCTATATCATTACACGTCGTGCAACACTCCCCATTTAATTGTAGTCTATTCAATATTATTTGGCAGTTTATACACACTTTTTAACTTGGAAACACACTGTTATGTCTAATTCTATAATTTTTTTCATTGCAGAACTCAAGAAGCCATAGTCCTGAAGATGATGATTTCCTCGCAGCGTTCGACAAAATGGTTTCAGATAACCTTCAAGATCGAATGAGAGACAATGTCAAACCCCAGCATGTTGATATTCCCGTCCCTCTACATGTGAAAACAAATGCAAAAAAGACCTATGGTATGTGTTTGTTCTATAATTGCTAACTTGATCTTGAAATCAAACTATTAATTATTGTTACAAAAAGGACCATTTTTGTACAGTGATGAAGGAGTATAGGGTGCAGCGTTTCTTGTATTAGAGCACTAAACTTCTGTCCTGTAGGTCTAGGATCAAATCCTGCTATTCACCTATGAATGTAGTATTGGATTACTGGTGTGTAACCTTCACCATAAGTTGTGATTGGTTCAGTGCTCCCCTCAAGCTGGAGTTAATTCTATAAAGTAAGTGAGTAGTGTGATGTGTTGTTACTGAAATTTATCGATTCCCGATACCGAGATACCATAAAAATTGATTCTCAATTCTCGAAAAAAGTATCACATTTTCTGTATGGATTGGTTATGGTTATATTACACCAACCAATTATAACTAGAGTTGTGTATTATTCCAGCTTCAAGAACGAATTATTAATAACTAGTTTACCTTGTGGTTGCCAGATTCTTGAAATGTGTAGATATCTTGCTCGATGTACATTTCGCTACATGTGTAGCATCGTCAGGAGCACAGTTTGTCACATTAGGCTATTTAACACAAACACTATTTACAAATATTTACATTTTCGGTCGGATGACGATTTACGGTAAAGTCATAGGAACCCAGCGCGCGAACGCGTGCGCATACCGGAGGCACTACATGTGTCACTATTTGACTGACAACTGGCTTGAGGAGGTATGTTTGGGGAGGTTCGGTCAGGGGATGGGGGTGAGTTTACGATGTTAGAGCTTTCTCTTCTTGGACTGCGACGTTGCCAAGTCTCTGCGCTGTTGCCACAATGATCTTCTAGATGGTTTATAAGTTTGAAAATTATTGAATTGTTGTAATCAACAATGCAGGATATAAACCAGCATACAGAGTAAAAACAAATCCCGTCCCAAACTACAGAATAGCTGAGAAAACTGACATCCCAATAGAACAAGAAAGAGGCATATATAAAATAACATGTGCACCACCATGTCAAAAAGAATACATTGGTTATACTAACAGATCATTTAAACAGCGATTCAAAGAACATAGTGCCAGCCACCACGCCAATCCAGAATCATTAGTCGCCAAACACCTGAAAAGTAATCAGAATCACCACATCTCATTTCCAGAATCATTAACAATCCTCAAACGCACCAATTCTAAGTCAATAGCGAAAGTCCAAGAAAGCTACCACATATATAAACATACCCATATTTCAAATGCAGACACCCTGTTAAACAAAAAAGAAGATTACAACAGTTCAATAATTTTCAAACTTATAAACCATCTAGAAGATCAATGTGGCAACAGCGCAGAGACTTGGCAACGTCGCAGTCCAAGAAGAGAAAGCTCTAACATCGTAAACTCACCCCCATCCCCTGACCGAACCTCCCCAAACATACCTCCTCAAGCCAGTTGTCAGTCAAATAGTGACACATGTAGTGCCTCCGGTCCGCGCACGCGTTCGCGCGCTGGGTTCCTATGACTTTACCGTAAATCGTCATCCGACCGAAAATGTAAATATTTGTAAATAGTGTTTGTGTTAAATAGCCTAATGTGACAAACTGTGCTCCTGACGATGCTACACATGTAGCGAAATGTACATCGAGCAAGATATCTACACATTTCAAGAATCTGGCAACCACAAGGTAAACTAGTTATTTATAACTAGAGGTGTGCCAGTCTGAGATTTTTTGGTTGTGGAGACATCATCATCCTCTTCCCCATTCATTGCAAAATCTTGAATATCTCCCTCAGTAACGGAAACATCATAACTGTCGCCTGCGGAAACAGAAACATCATCATCCTTTACTGAGATTGTGGAAAAATCATGAACATATCCCGCAGTCGTATATACATCATCGGGAAGATTCTGATTATCTCCTGCGGCCGTGTATACATTATCGTCGTCTCTCGCGGTTACGGAAACGTTATCATTGTCTGTCATGCACAATCGCAGTAATATAACGATCACGCGATCTTTACAGACATGTCAGGTTTATATTGGTATTAACTTTTGACGATCAAATCTTAATACTGATACCAATGTCTTAGGTATAGATGGTATCGAGAATCGGTACAGAGAATCGACACATCCCTAATATAAAGTAAAAAACAGATATGTTGTGTGTCTATATCTGTATTGAAAATTTCTTCACAATATTAATTACATTAACTGTAGTGCAATACATAATTAGTATAGTTATACTTATTGTGTCTTTAGAGTTTTAGGGATAGTGCAACTGGTAGAAGGAGAATATAAATCAATTATCTTAGTGAATCCATATTGATTACCAAATATAGTGTTTGTGCTATATCAGTAGATAAATCGTTCATTTTTATATTTTTAAACCAAAACAATGTTTTTAACAGAACAACTTCAAGATCCGGAAACGGAAGAAAAAGGAACGGTCAATTTTGTTCTAATGTTGAGGAAAGGGAACAAACAACAATACAAGAGTGTTGCTGTGCCTACTGACTCTGAACTGGCTCTTAACCTGAGATCACAAGAGAAGGTATAATTGAACAAGATAATTCTTTCATATAAAATACCTAGAACTTAATTCAAAGTCTTGCCTAAGAATTAGGGAGCTGTAATGGGGTTTTAACAACATGATGAACATAGAGGTCTAAACGATCAACTCCCAGAGATTATTCACTGATTTCATGTATATTTCCGTATCATGTTTTCCTTTACCTTATATAGAATACAAGACAACAGATAAATAAAAATTCACATAGAAAGGTTTTTAATGGACATTGGACGTGCACACAAACACACACAGTTAAGATAAGTGAAAAGTAAGAATATTCTTGATTAAAGATTAAACCTACAAAGAGACTACCCATCCTGTCAAATTTCACTCTAGCCATCTAATGTTTATATTATGTGAACCTCACCTACCAAGTTCATGAGTGTCACACCAGACCTGACCAACACTAGATTTGACACCCTCAACCAAAAAATAATGTTTTCTCATGACCAGGGAGACTATTCAATTGTTGAACAGACCTAACAACATAGTTTAATACTGATAACACTAACACTAGAGTATTAGTTTTACATATTTAATCAAATATCTTTTACTAGGCGGAACGAGTAGAGATGGAAAAAGTCAAGAGGCTAACTCTCGACATAAACGATCGTCTGGAGGAGGAGGATTACCAGGATCAATTGTGTCAGGTAAGATTCTATGTTCTTTGATGAAACATTTATTTTTATCATATTTTGCAGTCACATAACCAAATATCTCAATACAGTAGAACCTCGATACCAAGACTCTCATGGGGACTGTTAAATATGACTTGTTGTTATCAAGGTTGACATGTTATCGAGGTTTCACTGTATTTTACATGTTTTCAAAGGTGTTCAGTTAGATTGAACTAATTATAATATCTTCAATCATCCAGGAAGTGCAGTGAAATTTAAATAAATTTGAGTTTTTTTGTCTTCTTGTGATGGTGAATTGTTTCAGTAAAATTTTTAAGATGTTACTTCCTCATCAATATTAAAAAGTTAAATCTAAAGTCTTTGCTTGTTATAGCTCTTTACCAACATTAATGTAGTTACTATGTAGCTTGAGCCGTTAATGACAGCTAAACGATTTTTGCCATTGTCTTTGTGTGAATCCTTCCGAGTAGTCTGTGGTGATGTGGAGTAGTATGAGTGTAAATGAAGATACCTGGGCCCTATATACCTTCCTCTCACCACTTCCAAATCACGCACATTTCCTGTCGTTGTTCAACTCTACTGGAAGGAAGCTAACTACCTTGTCAAAGTGCACAATATTACCTTAGCTGCATATCACAGCCAGCTTTTATGTTATTTAATATATCTAATTGTAATATAGTGAACAGTGAAATAAATATATATCTGGACTTATTCTGATTCGTGAAAAGTAACTAGATTTAGCAAATGTGAATTCTAAATTTGGGATATTGATTACCAGACCACGGCCATTGGTGAACCTAACAAATCACATAATTAATTATTATCTACCCTAACCTACACCCTTCCCCAACCCCTACGAACCTATCTAGACATAGTCTTATGCTAGTAGTTATCCGGGCTAGTCGACTGTTGCTGGTGGCACGCAAGACACTACTCAGGTACTCTACTCTCGCCGGCTCGCCGCAGTGCTTGCCGTAGCTGCGCGCGCACCTAGCTGTCTCACGTGACTTGCACTATTGTCTTGTATCGAGTCGCTATAAGTCCATTTTGGCAAAGATCCTAAATCCAAAATTTCCATACATTAATCAGACTTAAAAAAAAACTAGAAATTTTTTTTATATAGTAATCTAACTACCATTGTTAAATTCTGATCGTTTCATTGTCAGCAATTTCAACTAAATGAGGGGAGTAACGAATGTAAGATTCAATTCCTTCACACTTATCCAGTTTGGTCTTACATACCTGGCCAAAACAGGTTTGTAACACATGAGTTTTGTGTATAGTTGTCTATATACTGGCAAATCTGGTCCCTGACTCAACTTGGTGTTTAGGACTTTCATATTGACAAAGAATGTTTGGTCAATATAAAAATACGGTTTTTGTGGCACACTTAGAGTTAATTTGAAACCAGTTTGTCTCTCGAGAGTATTATATTGCAAAACCATACACGGTAATAAATTAATTTTTATTTTCAATTTACAGAATCAAAAACCAGCTATGGTCAACCTAAACCGAGAGAGGAGACACAAATATCAGCATCCCAAGGGAGCCCCAGATGCAGATGTTATATTTGGACGGAAAAAGGTCCAAAGATAATTGTTGTAAACAGGCTACAGATTTTAATTAAGATGAGTTTTAAGCAAATTTCCCAAAGGAAATAAGCTTTTTAAATTTTAATTTTTAATAAAATTTTAATTTTAACAATTTTTAATTTTAAATATTTTTTAATTGTTATATATATTTATTAATATTAAAATTATATATATTTTTAAGATATTTAAATTTTACAGACTTAACAATAGAAACATTGGATTAATCAACTTGTAATTTCCATCAGTCAACTTTACAAGGGTGAGTCCTTTAGCATTTATAGCCGTTATATTTTTTCTGGCTCTTTAGAAATCCTAGTCATTATAAAAGTGTTAACACCTGCCTTGATCCCTAATTTTTTTGGTGTAAATATATGTCTGTAATATTTTTTATTATATCAGCATATTCATGTAATTATATTTATTGTCTATGTATTAGGTATCTTTGATTTTTGAGGTTTTTGTTTGATAATTTTACTAATTTGGTCTCAGGTTATAAAATTTGTCTGAGGTTCCTTTTTAATTATGATATTTTTTTGTTTTAATTATTTACTAGTGATAATCATTTACATTTATTATCGTGTGTACAAACTTTAAATATGTGTTTTTTTCTGTTTTCATAGTGATAGTTTATTCTATACTAATTTAAAAATTATTTTAAGTGGTTAAACAAGTGAAGGTTTTTGTTTGGCTCCACAGAAACATTTATGTTCACATTTGCATCCGTCTCCTCTCATTGTGGCTTACAACTATTAAGGAATGGATTGTAAATACAAAAAAAATGTTTACAGATATAAGCATGTATTTAGACCTTAACTATACGCCAATGAATTGTCTTCTTAATTTGGATTTTTGTACCTATCTGTGTGGGTAAATCCTTTAATGTCATTTTTAAATTATATAAAACAATATGTCATGTGAAAATTAAATACATAGTATTTTCAGAAATGAATAACTGAAATTTCATGAGCGTTGTTTAACGTGTCGCACAGTGTTTATAAATTCACCACATCACAGGGAACTACACCGTCGTTTTACAGTTCTGGCCGCCAATCTGTTGTTGGTAAACTTCTATAGTATCCCCTTCCTCCATCTCTAGGGTAAAGGGGGTGTAACTCTCGTTTATTGCTTGGCCAACAAAGCGGAATCTGACAGCTGCCATGGCTAGCCCCGCTCGATCACTGTAGGCATTTATCAGTTTACGTAGCCGAATGTGTTTTTAAATTTTAAATTGAATGATGGCATTATCTTGTCCCATGACTTTCAGGTTGATGTGTTCAGTTTCTCCCGCTTTCTTGTCCTCGGCCATGTTGAATTATAGATGTTTGAAGATAAAGAAATCGCACAATAACTACGAGCTACAAGATCCCAAGTAGTACCTAAACATTTGCCCGACGAATAATCTACTACTTGTTTCCTCTCATTAGTTGCAGGTTTGTATAGTAGTACATTTGAAACTGGCTAATCGGGCATGTTTGGGACATCAGCAGTACAGGGCTATTTAAAATTCTTGATTGCTGCCATTTAAAAACTCCCATTATTGCTAAGATAGCACAAACACCCCTAAGTCATGGTCAAAAGGGCATTTTACTGAATACACCTAATTTCACCCAATGCTCGGTTTGACAATAGCACATGGAAGGTTTATTCAATGTAAAGGTAAATGGTTCCAACAAACTGGGAGAAAGTATGTTCCCTTTAGCTTGTCAAAAACCCTTATATGTCTACAGACTGAGTTTAGGTGGTATTATCAAATGTGAACCTTTACCACTGCTATAGCAAATTTATTACATTTCAAGGTAGCAGTTATGAAATACCTTTGATGTAAAATGTAACCAAATCGGTTAATTTTATCATAGTTTGTGCCCAGTAACTATGGATGGAAAATTGTATGCTTAACACAAACTCTTTTCCTAAAATTTTATCCAACATAATGATATTATCAATGGCTTTTTTAGAAACTGCCTTAAGTATTCCATCGTAAATGTATATTGTGTTACATCCAAACCCATAAAAAACCTTGTAAATTCGACTTGAATAACAAATTTGGAAAACCAATAAAAAGGGCCCCTCGACTTGCTCAAGAAATTTATTTTATACTTTGTGTTAAAAACTGCAAATGTTTTAAAAAACTGTTTGCATTTCAAGCTTTATAATGGTATAAAGCATGTCATATTTTATGTCTGCCTAAGTGGAGGCATATTGCGTTAAAAATAAAATTAATTATTTTTTCACTAATTGCCATTAATTACAAGAAAGCAGTTAATTACATTAATTAATTCAGTGAAAGTAGTGAGCAAAGTTGGCTGTAATATTTTAGTACAGTTAAAACTATTCATAGTTTATTGAATACTAGGTAAAATAAAAGTAGAGTATTTTCTAAATACAAGTTTTTTATTTTTACACCATTTGACAGTTTTCAATCTAAAGTATAAAAAAATACTCTTAAAAACTTTTGGCAAACTTTTCATTGATTTTTCCAAATTTGTTAATCAAGCAAAAAAATTGTGAAATTTTAATTTATAAGGTTTTTTTTGTGGATTTGGCTGTAACAAGCTATATGTTTTCTAATAAATAGAATATTTAATGCAGTTTCTAAAAAGGGCATTGATAAATATCATTATGTTAGTTAAAAACTGAGAATAATGAGATTTTATTAGGCCTTGTTATCAAAATGAAAGGTAAATTGGTCCTGGGCCTATGTCTTACCGTGCCACATACGGTAATAGCTACTTTCTCATTGGGACATTGGCTAAAATGGCTGCCAGTAGTAGCAATAAGATATATATACTAAACAATTATCACAAACAAAATAGAAATCGGACCAAAATGGCAGTTAAAAATTACTTTCAATAACCATTGTCTTAATAATTTTTAGCTGCCATTTTGTTATTAGTTGTCCGATTTCTATTTTCTTTATGTTTATTGTTTAGTTTTGTCAAGACCTGTAAAATGATACCAAACTCGACCATTCTTCTTGTTTGACAATTTTGAGCTACCCCCAACCCCTAAGGGCAAAATTTTCAAATTCAACCATCATTATTGTAGCCCCTCATATCTAAACAGGTTGCCGCAAACTGATTTCAAATATATCAAAAGGTTTGAATGTTAAGGGGGGTGCAAGTTAATTTTCAGTCACCCTCATGGTTATTTGGATTTGAAACGTTTTAGGGTGCCATTTTGTTATTAGTAGGGATGGACGAGATTGGATTTTTAGTTCGAGACGAGTCAAAACGGGATTTTTAATTTCTCATAAAATTTCGAGACGAGATCAAGACGGGATTTCCCTTCTCATACATAACAGGAAATAGCACGTTCCACATTTTAACCTGATTTTTTAAACATTTTTAAATACCTACTGATTTAAGACAGACTGGTTAAATACAAAAATAATAATAATAGACAAACATATTTAAAATATTTTATTCAAAATCATTAATAAAAACATCAGTATATAAAAATAAATATTAATAAGGCCTAACTTATTGAAAATAACTCTTCGGCCTGAGAAACATGGAGATATCAGTTAGTATATAGTTAAACTTTGAAAAATATCAAATTTATAAGTCTAAAACAACAGTATTAACAGTAGTTAAGTATCAAGTAACAATTTTTAAGTCTTGTGTTATTTTTAGAATGATTTTGGAGTGACTTATTTTGGCTATGTTTTCAGTAGTGAAACATGTCTCACACTGCTTACACTAACAAAACTTCTCATCATTTGCTATGTCAAAAAAAAATGATAAAACAATTGAAGCAATATTTTAATCTTGTCTCAAAAAAATCTCGACCAAAATAGAATCTTGTCTTGTAGAACAAGATTTCAAACTTCCCGAAATTTCAAGACCTGTCCATCCCTAGTTATTAGTGGTCTGATTTTAGTTTTCTTTATTTCAATTGTTTATTTTTGTCAAGACCTGTGAAATGATACCGAACTCGACTATACTTGCCATTTGAAAATTTTGAGCTACCCCCTACCCCCGCTACCCCTAAGGGCAAAATTTTTTAAACTAACCATAATTATTGTAGCCCCTCATTTATAAGAAGGTTGCTGCAAACCGATTTCAAATATCTCAAATTGTTGAAAAGTTAAGGGGGGGGTGCAAGTTACTTTTCAGCCACCCTGTATGGCTATCAAAATGGTGTCTTTTTAATGCAATTTGCACGTATAATAATGCCCTAAAGTTTTGACACTGACTTACCAAACACCCTGTCAATTTTAAATTTATCAGATTTTGGGTAATTTTTGCTAAATGTGACCTTTACTTTATCAAGATCACGCTGTATCATTATATCCATTTAAGCCAATGGAAGAAAATAGGGGGAGCGAGCTGGTCTAGTGGTTAGAGCGTAGGACTTCGGCCCAAGAGGTCCTGGGTTCAAATCCTGCCAAATCACCAATGGATTTTATCTAAGTGATATTGCCGCAACCCCTAGGTCTAGCCTGAAGTAATGTGAAATACCCCCGCTGCAGCAAACCTGCCGACTAAGCAAATTTCCATTTGTCTGAATTTATTTTCAATTAAATCTATTTAAATAACGTTAGGTTTAAAGAGTACCTAGGTTTGCTGCTGCAAGGAAACTAATGAAGTTGTATACTAATGAAGTATACTAATGAAGTTAGTATATTATTAATAGCTTAATTTAAAATAGAAAATTTTGCCAAGTTTGATCAAAATATGTCCATAAACAAGCAAACTACAACATTTTACAAGCAATCTGACACATACTTTCTCCCATTAGATTGTCAACAACCTTTATCATTGGAAAGTGGTGGGAGTAACTTTGATATATCATGGGGGAAATCATGAAAGTTGCAATAACTTTTGAACTGTACATTTAACAGCAATGGAGTGTGTGCCATTTCATTTAGAGTTAAAAGGGCGATAACATACTAAATTTTAATCCAAATCGCCGTCATTGATTTGTGGTCTGATGCACTGAGCCACTGACTCACCCCTGTTTACTGCTAAATAAACGGCGTTTAAGAAGTTTTGTTATTGTGATTAAAT